AATATAAATTAGCGGCTAAATTAATAGCATTTTTATAATCCTTTAATATAAGCCTTTTATATAAGCTTTTTTATTTAATTTATAATTAATTAATGCTTAATTACAAGTAATTAATTTTATTAATGGAAATTTCTTAAATTTTAAGAGTTTTTATAGCGTTAAATTAATTAATATATAGTTAGCTTATTTTAAACCTAGGCTGGCATTAAGCTAATAACGCTTTTAAGCCTTACCTTATAAAAAAATTTTATACCCCCTTAAATAAATTCCTTTCCTTTATTAATCTTAATTAATAAAAGCTGTATCTTTATTTTTTTATAATAATTAAGGTAATTATATTTATAATAGCTAAATTAACTATATATAAAATACTTAACTTTACTTATTACAACCATTATAATATTAATATTTATTGCTTTATTATTTTAAAATTAAGTATTATTCTTTTTTATTATAGCATTAAAAATGCCCTTATATTATTATAAGGCAAAGTAAAAAGCTTTAAATATATTTAATTACTTTTTATAATTAAGTTAAGCTTTTATTATAAAAATTAAGTTATTAATTATTAATAATATTTTATATTTATTTAATTAATTTTAAGCCTTTATTATATAAGTTAAATAATTAAATTAAGTAAGAAATTTTATTATTTCCTTTTTATAATATTATTATAATATAATTAAGCTAAGCTTAATATATCTTTATTTAAAAAAGTTTTTAAGCATAAGGCAAACTTTTTTTAAGAAGCTTTTTAATTATTTCTTAAATATTTTTATAAAATTAATATAAAGTAAAAATTAATTATAAAAAGTTTTTAATTAATTAAATATATAAAACAATTAAGCTCTTTTAATATTAATTACTTTTTTATTTATTATAAACTTAACCCTTATTTTTATTAATTAAGTTATTAAGTATTTTTAAAATAAAAGTTCCTTAAAATAAGAAAGGGCTTAATAAGCTATTATTATTCTTTTTAAGTTTTATTATAACGTTAAGCACTAATAAACAACGCATACTAGTGAGCAATGCACTTTTTAGCATCAAAAGCACAATAACCTAAATTACAGCATTATAATTAAAAAAAATTAATTAAATTTAATTAAAATTAAAATCTATAAATTATTTTATATCTTTCTTATAGGTTTGCGCATTATGCTTAGTCTTGCTATAATTGCTATATTATCTTTTTATTAGTCCGCCGCGGATTAACTCCTTAGCATTACCACTTATTTTATTAGCTAGCTGCTTCCCCTTTTCCTTTTTATTAATTAACTTTTTAGCCTTTTATATAATAAATGCTTTTTCATCCTATATATATATTTTTTTAGCCCTTTAATGCTTAAAAAATGCTATATTTATAATTTAAAGATTATTAATTTCTTAAGTTAAAAGTATAATTATATAAGTTAATAATTATATATTCTTTATTAACTTATTAATAGCAGCTAAAATTAATATTAAAAAGCTTTTTTAATAATAAGAAATTTAATTTTTAATTAAAGTTAATTAAAAAACTACTTATATTAAGTTATATAATATTTAAGAAACTTAAGGTATAAGTAATGCTAAAGAACTTAATATAGTTATTAATATTTAAATCTTAATATTTAGCTTAAAAAGCATAACTTTTTAATTAAATAAAATAAGGCCTGCTTTTTTAAAACCTTTCTTAATAGTTTTTAGCTTAAAAACCCTTTTATATATAGCATAAAAAGCAAGAAAAAACTTTATCTTATTAATATAAGTAATTTAAGCCTTATTAAATTAATTAATTTTTATATTATATGCCTTTTTTAATAAATTAAAATACTTAATATTTAATAGTTAAAATAAATAAGATAAATAAAAAAATATATAGAAAGTAATAATGTTTTTAAATTTATAATATTGCTTAAAATCTATAAAATAATAGCTTTTATGTTTATTAAGAATTAATAATTAATAAATGCCCTTTATATATAGTGCAATATATTTTTTAAAGTATTAAATTTATTTTATAATAATTTTATTACTTATTTATTTATTTAAGCTTATTTTAATTACTTAGTTATTTAAAAGACCGCTCTTAATATATTAACTTGCAAAGTATATTTTAGCTTTAATAATTAAAAATAATAATTTATATTATTTATTCCTATTAATTAATTTAATAGTTATTACTTATTATTAATTCCTAAGTTATATTTATTTTATTTATTCTTATTAATTAAAATATATAATTATTATTTTAAGTAATTTAATGCTTATTATAAAGCTTAACTTATTAAAGTTATAAGTATTATAATTAAGAATATTATATTTATTATATATATTAAATATAAGGTTAAATTATACATTTATTATATTAAGATCTTTATATAGGGCCCTTTAATAATTATATATATAATTAATGCATATTTTAAAATATAATTCTAATAAAATAAGTCTTTTTGCTTAATTAATCCTAATAATACCGTCATTATAATTATAAAGCAGAGAATTCGCTATATCTTTAATATTTTTAAAAATAAGCAAGTATCCTTATGAATTTTAATTAAGTATATATTAAATAAACACCTCCTTTTTTATTTTTATTAATTTCTTATTATTAAGATGGGTATTGCATTATATAGTTTAGCTAGCTATTTTATAGTAAAGAGTAAACTTAGGGATTTAGTAAATATTGGCTATATGTTATTTACTTAATTTTAAGTTATTTTAAAGAGCTTAAATAGCAAGTTTAATCTTATCTTCTTTTATTTTATTTATTTTAAAATATAACGCGAGAAAATGCGGTTATAAGATGCATTATAATAATTCTAGGAAAAGTACGTCACTCACTAGTGTGCGTTGTTTGTTAATGCTTAACGTTATTAAGTTTTATATAATTATATTATAAGTTTATAATATAAGAAAACTTTAAATATATATTATAAGCTAGCTTTAAGTTGTTTATTATAAGGTATTTAAATAAGGTTTATATTTAAAGTGCAAAGGAAGAGATTTGCTCCTTATTTGCATCCGCGTTAAAGCCTATTCTTATAAGGTTAAAGCCCGTTAATTAATTATAATGGGCAAAGCTTAAACCGTAATAATAATTAATAATGCTTTTTTAAGAGAATTAAGTCCTTAAAAATAAATTAATAATTATAATACTTTAAAAAAAGTGAAAGATTAAAATAAGTTTAAATTTTATATTTATTAAAATTAAGTATATATATAAGGTATAAATTAATATTAGTGTAATTAAGGATAATTTAATTAAAATAAATACTTTTAAAGATATTATAAATATAAAGGAATGCATTATTATGGGTGGTGATAAGGATTTAAAGTAACTTTAATTGAAGGGGTAGTGTGGCGAGGAGGACTGTTTGGGTGGGCTGAATTAGGGGGTGGGCCGAATGTGGGCCACTTGACTTAAGCAGATGGATAAACAAGGTTACCATGGTTTTCAATGATGTTAATCAGAGACTGCGTCATCCTAGCGGTCTCAGGGGAGAAGAATGCCACCCTTATAGGTAATTATCTACTCCCTAAAAGTCCTTTAAGATTATCATGAGTATGTGTATCAAGAGAACGCCCAAACACTAAAAGCAAATACGCAGTCTTAAAGGGAGTTCATTGAGTTGGCTTATTCTTGTGCTACAGCCCCCCTGACCATCCTCTTACCAGTAGTGTAGAGCAGATTGAGATCCGTATCACCCTTGAGAACTAGTCCTGGCTGGCATCCATGGTCGAAGTCACGATTAAGACATTAGGTGAGGATGAATTACCAAAGTAATGACACTATAAGCATCGTATATACATCGGGGGGAGATGGGGATGGTCGGGGCGGCGGAAAGCCTTGATTCACTGGCGACGAGACCCTTCGTGCTAGAAAATGCCCAGGATTTTTGACAAGCAGACTTCCAGGGGGTCCAAGACAAATCTGTTTATCTGCAATAAAGAATTGTTTCCGGAGGCTCCAGTAGCTGGGTGAGACAGACAATTGCTGTAGCGCCTATTTTCATGTTCTTGAATTCATTTAAGACCTTGAATATAGTGATAATGATGATGAGGATGTTGTCATGAGAGGGAATACAGAGACAAGGCAGCTGTCCTTAATACGTCAATTCAGATTAAGACGGCACTACCTTGTATGTAAGGAAGAGGTCTAGTAGAAATTGTAGGCGAGGGGTTTTATGCCTGAGGGGTGTGGGGCCTAGAGCCTTAGTGAATGCCAGCAGTCAATGGGGCCTTCACCCATACACACACTTACATATGTATCTAAATGTAGATTTAGTATGTGAAATCAAAGGGGACTATGAAGATAAGACGTTTTGAAGAGAAAAATGGTAAAGGTCACGAAACCTTGAGATTCAAGGCAGGCAATTGTAGTATCATCCGTTGCTGAGCCGGTCTGAGGGGTAAAACAGCTCATCGCCTTGTTACATAGGAGTAGCCCAAAAGAGAGTACCTTAGAAGAGAGTAGCCCACAAGAGAGTATCCGAGTGTCCATAGGAGGGTGTTCCATAGGAGTTGAAGAGGTTGCCTCATACGAGGTTCTCCCACAGGAGGTTGCCCCACGTAAGGTTGTCCCACCGGAAGTTTTGTATCTGCCAAAGACAAAACTACCGCATTGAAACCATTGTTGCATGTAACGGTTGACTGGATGTACAACATAATTGCTGCTCTTGGTAGTTCTCTGTGGGTTGCTATGCAATATGATATTGGACCAACTACGTGCATAAAGTCATCTAGTTGCGAATTGGCCTTTGAAATGAGAGCACACTTGATTATGGAGAGTTCAAAAGGCGTTTTCGAGCAGGGTTCTGTGTTCTTAACCTCACGAATAAATCTAGCATTACAATGCCAATATGGACAAATTCAAAGTCAATAATCACCCACTACAGCTCAGAAGGGAGACCACTCAGCTTCTAAAGTCAACAGGTAAGGATGCGCCTTGTTTGTAGGTCAAATAAAAAACATCGACTGTATTTAAGCTGCTATGGGCAAAATTCATCGTTCACAAATTATTCAAACACGACAATAACCTTGTTGGCCTTCCCAGATCTGGCCAATTCAAGTGCGTCGACAGCCCTTGCGAATGGTATCTGGTCGCTAACAATCTCTTCATACCTCTCACAGTTCTCGATGATATCGTCCGTAACCTCAAATATTTCCATAGCATACCCCATGCTAAACACGATGTTGAGCTCTGTCGAGATGAGCCGTCCGAGATCCAACTCGGTCGTTTTCTTGTGCACTCCTACAATCCCAAATGTAGCCTCGTGCTTTGCCATACCACAGACCTGAGCAGGAACCGACGGCGCACCGGCCGCATCGAGAAATATGTCTGTCGCCGGTCGGGTCCCTCGGTTCCAGGCCGTGGCGCCGTCGCCGTACAACTCGACCAGCTTCGCAGCAAGGCCACCCACTTCCGCCGAGTTGACTACGGCGTCGGCACCGACTAGGAGTGCTGTCTCAAGTCTCGACTGAACGACATCCACCACGACAATATGACTTGCCCCCTTTCGTCGATAGCCCAGAACAGCGCCCAGGCCGATCGGCCCGGCGCCAAAGACGACGACTTTGTATCCCGGCTTGGGATTTGTCCTGTTGACAGCATGCAACGCCACTGCCATGGGCTCATTCAGCGCAGCGACGTGCCATGGGATGTCTTTTGGGATCTTCTTGAGCTGTTTGCCTGGTTCGTAGCCGTACATCACGACAAATTCGCTCAGCCCACCCTGTGCACCACCCGAACCGATAAATCCATCCGTGAGGGCCATAGTATTTATCACGACATGTTCTCCGACCTCGATACCCGGAAACTTTAGGTTCGCCCCAACGGCAATGACCTCGGCGGCTGGCTCGTGGCCGAGAGGTGTGCAGCCTTGGCGAGGGGGAATGCCGCCGTGCTCCGTGTATATGCTGTCTGAACCGCAGATGCCGCATGCCCTCATCTTCAGCAGCACATCATCAGGTCCGGCTTCTGGCTTGGGAATCTCAACCCATGATACCACGCCCGGGGCCGTAACTTGGATGGATTTCATATTTGTATCCAAATCTGGGCTTCAGTGGAATAGTGTCGGGGCCGCGACTAGTGTTGAAAGAATTTGGTTCAAAGGGAAAGCTTTTGTCGAAATGATGACTATGTGTAAATGCATTGATAATCCTCTGTTGTGACGTTCTTGCTGTTTTATGTTGTTCACTGTTTCCCGCATTGAGCGCCAATACGGGAGCGATGGCAAGAGCGAGATATTGCGAGGCTAGGGCGGCTTGTGACCCACTCTCAGTATTCAAGCCGCTGGGTTGGCCTAGCCACGTTTTGTAAATGACTAGACAACACTTCAGCTTTATTCAGATGCCACCAGGTGAAACCTATTAGCCCTAATATGCCCTCGATGTTTCTCCTCATTGCTTTCCCTTGTGGCGCCATGATAATGGATGCCTCCGCAAAATCACTTCAATATAATTGGTGTTCAGTATCGAATGTCCATTATATTGACAATCAAGCCTCTATTTTTAACCTGTCACAACAGATCATCCTCAGGGGCAAGCTTGGTGTGTCGGGTGGTACTTCAGCTTCCAATCCGATCGTTACGGCGCTCATCGACCGCATGGAGGAACGTCTTGCGGCGGGCAAGGGGCCATTGAGATTTATCAATCCTACCTTGTACCAGCATCCTGAGGCCTTTAATGATATCAAAAAATGGCTCAAATCCGGGCGTGGGACAGATGGTTTCGACGCCGTGGAGGGCTGGGTATACTGAATTATCCCACGCTATTAAATGTTCTTATGAGGTTGCCCTAGCTATAGCTATTATGGTTGGTTCCATGTAATATATCAGAATTACTAAGGAAACGAAATCTTGCGCTTATACCTACACGAAATTGTTGCTCTCAATGAGAAATGATTCAATTGAGGTCACCAGCCACTGAGCCACCAATGGACACCATCAGCCTCAATGGGAACCACTAATAAGCTTATTTCACAATTTTACTACACACAGTGGTCTAATCTAGTATTCTGGCTTGATGTAAGCCTAGTAGTAATTTAAGATGTAAAGATATAGTCGTGGAAAAATAAGCTAAGTCGCTATTAAGTCATTAATATCTCTGTGATTAATGTGTAGCGTAGCCTGTACTAGCAAATGGACAGCTGTCTCGCATACTTCGGAAAAAAAAGGGAGAACATGAACAAAAAATTCAACTTTTCTTGATGTGCCCCCTATCCACTCATTAGAATAATGCTGCAAACTATTTAAGGGGGAAGGGGTGCACGAACCACACCGATTCGAACGATGGATCTTCGCATTACAAGTGCGACGCCTTACCACTTGGCCATAGGGGCTTTAAAAACGCAAAGTAATCAAGCTATATATCCTCAACCATTATTTCAGCCGCACAGCCGCCTTCCAGATAGCCAGGAATAATGACTCTCCATCAGATCATCCACAATTAGCTGTATGCACAGTGGTTCTGGTTAGGTCTCTCCCCATGCTCTCACTCCCCCTTAGATTTGTTCTACACTCCTCCTTTAAATCCTGCTCTCCCCCCTGCTGTATAAGTCCTTTCTCCACTCAGTCTCCAATCCAGGTTTAAAATAGAGTCTCTCAGGGGGATGTCTATTTACATGCTCTGAGAACGAGACTCTAGGTATACAGCCCGTTTAAGAGACGGTATCTAAATCATTCAGCTTATATAACCTCTAGTTCAAGCCTCTATTTAGGACCGAAATAAGATAGCTGGAGTCCATCATAGCCGGTTTCATCCTCTAGGTCTCTATTGTAGAGCCTCAATGAATAAAGATACCCTTTGAGCAATTCCGAACAGATCTAGGAGCTCTTCCTTCGAGCAGAAATATTGTGCGCCGGCACAGACAAAGGTTTAACCTTCTGCAACACACCACATACTTCTATATATTGTCTTTCATCCGTAATCCCCTGTACCTATTTGGTAATTTCATGGATGAATTGAGTGGAATTTATCTGAATTTAATCCAACCGAGTGCACCTTAGCAAAGCAACAGGACAATTGTGCAACCAGCCCAGTAGGCCGTCAAGCTGTTGTGCTTCTGCATGGAAGCACTTCTATGTCTCCAGCTTTGTTCTCTCCTTACATGAAGGCCTTCCTTTACGCTTGCTTCCTTGAACACCTTTGATGCAAGTCTAGTTGCCATACAAACCATCATAATCATCCAAAGAGCTCAAACCCATTCTCAGCAAGAAGGCCCAAGACACCCGCATCTTCTATACATGTAATGCAACCCTCTAAGTGTCTACCATTCCGGAACCACCTTCTTTAAAAAGTTCATAAATTTGAACAGCCCAACCGCATGCTCCACGTTCCCTTCGGGATCAACCACCCGCTGTGGGAACGCGATACCAGCACCAAACAGCCCCTGTATCCTCGCCCCAGACTCCAAGTCGACGAATGAGCCCGTCGTGTTCTCGAACCTGGGCGTCACCGTCCTTCCCTCGACCCTCAGCTCCGGCAGCGCGTCCGGCTTGTATCCGATGGCCTGGCACACGTGCGTGCAGTCCGCCAGCTCGCGCTTGTACGTGTCCGTCTCGTCGCCGTGGCTGGTCGCGATCTTGACGAGGTGGCCCGAGACGGAAGACGAGGACAGGACCTCCTCCTCCAGGTTCTCGCGCGCCCAGCTCGCGACCTCGCCCTTGAGACCCGTGTTGTCCCGCAGGATCCATCCGTCGCGCTCCTCGGCGTACCGGAGAGGATGGCGGGTGAACCACTTGATGCGTAACCGGGGGTGGGTGCTGGAAGCCAGGCGGGACAGGTTGCGCAGGACGAGGATGGCGGAGTGGGAGGCGCCGATCACGCCGATCTGCGTGGGCTGGTTGGTGGGGAGGAGTTTGGAGAGGAGTGTGGGCGAGAGGGCGGTGTCAAGGTGGAGTTCCTGCAGGTGACTGACGGGGAGAGGGCCGCTGGTGGGTGAGGAGCCGGTGCACAGGACAAGCCTGCTGGCGTCGACTTGTGTGGGTGGTGAAGAGCCGCTGGGTGGTGAGATCGAAACGCTCCAAGTTGAGTTTGACCATGTTGCATCGGTGACTCTGCCTTGGTGCTTTGTGACCCCTTTCTGCTCATCCAGCCCATTTGTCAACATCAGACACAGGTCTGCTGCTTGTGCGATGTGACATGTCTTCTCTGGGTTGAGGCTGAGGAGACGGCTCATGGCGTTGGGTTCAGGGGTCTCCTTCGCGATTTTCCTGAATACCTCGACACCTTCGGCGTATTTGGTGAAGAACTTGGCCTTGGTATTCGAAGGCACCTCGCGGTAATACTTGTTGAGCCTTCCTCCGTCGAATAACTCATCAGCCCACAAGATCGGACCCTTCTGCACCTCGAGCAGATTCCCAACAGCCCCGATACCACCTGCGCCTGCACCAACGACCACTGTCTCGTACCTCCTCCCACTGGAGTACATCCTGGTCCATCCCTGCGGCCCATAGAATTCATGCGGAGGAGTAAGAGTGCCCATTGTCGCTGCTGAGCTTGATTTCAAGTTGCTTCTCGCACTCAAGATGGCAGTTGAGAGGCATCGAGCCTGACGGCTCCCCGTCCTTATAGGAAGGGGAGCCGTCGGGACTATGCAAATCATCCTGCTCAAAGGCTATGGGTCGCCGCCCCCCTTTCGCCCCTGGATCGCAGGCCGGGGAATCGAGCAATTAAGCCTATGCCAGTGACGATGGGTCAGGGCGGCGGTATGACGGAAGGATCCCCGCGCCGGTGGTCCCAGGTGTGGCTCGATATTCGGGAGCCGATGCGGTTTGGACGTCTTGTTTCGTGTCGTATGCGGGCGTAAAACAAGCATGCATCAAGTGGCTTATGACCGTGCTGTGCTGTAAGACTGCTCTGAGACGGACGCGCAGTCATTGCTGTCAGTCAGTCAGGATTCGTCAGACTGGCTGTCGATGCCGTGATCGGGAAAAATGGGGCCTGTCACGTGGAGATAAGATCTCAGTGGACTGATCCAGGCCGGTTTGATGTCCACTCTGTTGTCCGCCTGTGGGCTTGTTTTACTCCTATCCACTGATAAAGCAGGTGATGACGAATATCTCAATACTATACATGATTTCCAAGGTATAATAAATGAATCTCCATAGACGCATGTGCGTAGGTGGATCCAAGACGCGCCACCACGGGGCAGCTGTGTACTAACAGGGCTGGCAAGCTCGGTCCAGCTGTGCTGTTAGGAGCCACTTGCCGCGGCCACTCCTTTTCCAGAGATAATCTTCACTTCGTCCTGAACTTCACCCCGGATACGTATGCACGGTTCGACGCATGGGATTGATAAGGCATAAAAGGCGCCGGACAGGCAAGGGTGCCGCCCCTGGCAGACCTGCAGGGATAGCAATTGTCTAGGACACACCGCAAGACATTCGAGTAAGAGAGGTGTCAATCCCCATGCACAGAGGAGAATACTGCTCACTAAAGATCTTGTCATCACACTGGAATCGATGTGTACGCAGGCCTTTGCCTTTCCCCCTGAAAAAGCAAAGAAACTCCCAATTTTACACGTGCCAGTGAGTGAAATGTTGCCCCTATACCATACGCTCATCCTCGCTGTTCACTGCAACAAGTTCAGTCAGTTTGATCACGTCGGGACGCAAGATGTATTCCACCCCCCTAACAACAACTTACGGCTCCTAATCCATCAAAATCAATTTCTGCCGTGTATCAGATGGAAATCCAGCTATCACCTTCCTTCTGCCATCAACACCCCTTCCGTAAACTTCTGCACCTTCACAAGTGGTTGGAAATCTCTGCCCTGTATATTGTGCCATGGCTAGGTTCAATCAAATCGATTGTATCTCATCTATAATTGCACAATGGAAAGTGTCATGGTCATAGCAAGACTTATGATGTCACAAAAAAGATCGAGTCGTTGCGGATCCCTGTTGAATGTCACCGGGCTGGGTAAAATCTTTCCTCGAATTCTTCTGGTGCCATTTTTTTGTCCCGTTCCTTTCTCTTACACGTTAGAATCCACTGGCAATCTACCGGCAGCATAATGTAATCCACTGACCAAGCCTTGTTTTATTCACCCTCGTTGCTTTCTTCACCGGCACTCAATAGCTCTGACTCGGCCCGAAACTCGTCTCAACGACGCGTTGAGGCGGTTGCAAGATTTTGGGACCGTGTGGTTAATTGACGGAGCAATTTTGCACGGCACTGCCTCTGCTCTTACACCACCAATGACATTGGCCACGCACTCATGGAACCCATTCTGTGGGGCAACGGCGTCACGTATCAGTGATTGTGCATGCTATAGTGCCAGCCGTTCTTCATTAGACCGCTGCTAGGCGCCACACGGCTAATCAAGCTGTATTTGGTTGCCAACCACTTCGAGAAATATGAAGCTGAAAGACGGGATCATGGTGATCTATCATTGCCGATACAAGAGCCATTCGATTTTGAAGTCGGTACCGTTTTATGGGTTTCTGGACATGGGATTTGCATGACTTGCAGTTGAGCTTATATATTTGTCTCCAGGCTCTTGTGAAATTTCCCTACCAGATAATGCTTATAATGCCTAGCCCGTTTGAATTCGTATGCAAAGGATGTGAGATCCACCAAGAGACAACTAGCGTCCACCCGGGTAAGTGGGCACTTGGGCCGGTGCTCGGGTTGATTTAGATGTCCGGCAGGGCGTTTAACGTGAGGTAAAACCCCACCCAGGCATATGTGAGCATTCGGGGGTTCGGAATTTTTCCGTGAATTATTGTTGCAAGTTATCTTGGACGCCGTCCTCAGACGGCCGGTTGAGCGCACCCCGTTGACCCGTGTGGTCGTTTGCCCAGTTGCTAACGTCCCCTCACCCCTTCTGCCGCACACCCGATCTGCCGCACCGTCGCCCACACAAATGCCACTATTCCCAACCTCAATTGCCCGCCATAACTATTACCAATCCCTCTTTCATTAATATAAGGAATTATTAAACTTATCTTTATCTATAAATACCTTATTAGCATTAATTCAAGCCTTTTAAATAATCTTAATATTAATAAAAACTATATTTAAGTTAATTTAAACTTTTTTCCTTAGGATTTTTTTATTAGCTTTAATTTAAGCTTTTAATAATTATTTTTTTTTAAAATTATTATTAACTTAATAACTATTTAAATATATTTATTAAAAATCTTTTTAAATAATAATTATTATATAAAGCTTATATATTTTTATATAAGCCTTATAATAATAATAAAGAAACTTTTTCTTTATTATTATTATTATTATTATTATTATTATTATTATTATTATTATTATTATTATTATTATTATTATTATTATTATTATTATTATTATTATTATTATTATTATTATTATTATTATTATTATTATTATTATTATTATTATTATTATTATTATTATTATTATTATTATTATTATTATTATTATTATTATTATTATTATTATTATTATTATTATTATTATTATTATTATTATTATTATTATTATTATTATTATTATTATTATTATTATTATTATTATTATTATTATTATTATTATTATTATTATTATTATTATTATTATTATTATTTATTATTATTATTATTATTATTATTTATAATAATATTAAGTTAATAAAGATACTTTTTAAATATTATTTTAAGTAAATAAAAAAAATAGCTATATTAAGGGGTTAAAATATATAAAAAGTATATATAAATAAAAAGATTATATATATTTAATTTAAAAAGTATTTTTATATAAAATTATTATAATTTAAGCTTTGCTTATTATAATTAATTAATAAGCTTTAGCTTTATAAAAATAAGCTTTAATATAAATATAAATAAAAAGTAAACTTCTTTCTTTATACTTTAAATGTAAACTTTATTTAAATAACTTTTAATAAATAACTTAAGGTTAGCTTATAATATATATTTAAAGTTTTCTTGCATTATAAACTTATAATATAATTATATAAAACTTAATATATTAAGATTTAAAAAGAATAATAATAGTTTATTAAACCCTTTTTTATCTTAAGAAACTTTTATCTTAAAAATGCTTAGCAACTTAATTAATAAAGATAAAAGCTAAATTTATAATAAATAAAGAGGTAATTAATATTAAAGGGATTTAACTTTTTATATATTTAATTAGCTAAAAACTTTTTATAATTAATTTTTATCTTATATTAATTTTATAAAAATATTTAAAAAATAATTAAAAAGCTTTTTAAAAAAGGTTTGCTTTATACTTAAAGATCCTTTTAAGTAAAAGCATATTAAGCTTAACTTAATTATATTGCAATAATATTATAAAGATAAAATAATAAAGTGTTTTACTTAATTTAATTAATTAACTTATATAGTAAAAACTTAAAATTAATTAAATAAATATAAAATATCATTAATAATTAATAACTTAATTTTTATAATAAAAGCTTAGCTTAATTATAAAAAATAGCTAAATATATTTAAAGCCTTTTACTTTACCTTATAATAATATAAAAGCGTTTTTAATGTTATAATAAAAAAAAAACTTATACTTAAGGAGTAAAAATTATAAATATTAATATTATAATGATTTTAATGAGCAAAGTTAAGTATTATGCTTATAATTAGCTTAACTATTATAAGCATAATTATTTAAATCATTATAAAAAAACTTAAATATAGCTTTTATCCTTTATTATTAATAAAAAAAAAGTATTTAATTAAGTTTATTTTTAATATGTAAATAATATTTATAAAGTAAGGCTTAAAAGTAATATTAACTTAATATTAATTTAAGCTTAAAGTAAGTTACTTAATATTAATTAATTTAATATTATAAAACTCTTAAAATTTAAGAAATATATATTAATAAAATAAATTATTTATAATTAAATATTAATTAATTATAAGTTATATAATAAGTTTATAGCTTTAAGATTTTAAATAAAAAAGCTTATATAAAATGTTTAATTAAAGGATTTTAAGAATATTATTAACTTAATTATTAACTTATATTTAAATAATTATTTCTTATTGGCATGCTTTAACTAATATATTAAATTATAAGGGTTAAAAATACGTTAATTATGGAAAATAAGCTAGGCCTTTAATATATTTAAAAGGCGTTAAGGTATAATTAAATAGCTAAGTAAAGAGCAATATTTAATTTATAATTAAATTATAATATTCTTTATTTTTTATTATATAGCTGCTTTTTTAAGCTTATTAAGGAAACTTGGAGAAGAAGGATATATTATGGTCTAAGCTTTGCCTATTATGATTAATTAATAAGCTTTGGCCTTATAAGAATAGGCTTCGGCATGAGTGTAAATAAGGAGCGAACCTTTTTCTCTATACTTTAAATATAAACCTTATTTGGGCACCTTTCGGCAGATAACCCAAGGCTAGCCCATAATAAAAATTAATAATTATATATATATAATACTTATTAATTATAAAAGAATATTACTTAAAAGGGTTTATAAGGATTAATTAAGGAATAAATATTCTTTTAAGTTATTTAATAATTATTCTTTCTTTTATTTACCCTTTTTTTAAGCTATAAATTATTAATTATTATAATCTTTAAGAATTATAAGAAATTATTATTATTATATACTTAATTCCTTAAATATAATAAAAAGTAATAAGGATTTACTTATAATAAATATATATTTTATAAAAACGGTTTATGCTTTTAAATTATAATTTTCTTAATAAATAAGGTTATTATTAATATAATTAAAAATAAAAGCATTTTTAAAATATATTTTTATTAATTCTTTTTTATTAATATTTTAATAATTATTTAACTTAATTATCTTTATAATAAGTAATTTAAAAAAGTTAAATTAAAGTTTAATATTAACTTTTAATAATATCCTTAATTTTTTTACTTTAATATATTAATTTTAATAGCTTTTAAATTAAGGGTAATAAGTAAGAAAGAAAGTAAATTATTATTTTTTAAGGAAAGGGTTATTAAGCAAGGAAAAGATTATTTAACTTATAAGGGTTATTATTTTAAAATAAGTTAATGCTAACTTTAAAATACTTTAATTAAATATAAATAAAGTTAATTAATTTTCTTTAATATTAAATAAAAGCCTTTAAAAATTAACAGCATTATAATGATTTTAAATATTAAAAAAAATAATATTAAAGTATATATTTAAGTATATATTATTTCCTTTTAATTATTTAAATTAATATATTAATAATAATTATATTAAGGGCTTTTTATATCTTAGCTTTTATATAGGGCTTTATGGTAATTAAGTTGATAATAATGTAAAGTTTAGTAATTAAAGAAAGATTCCTCGTAAAGATATTAAGGAGTATATATGGGGTGGGTGGGGACGCGTTTATGCGCGTGACGCGGGTGTGGGGTGCGGCAGATTGGGTGTGCGGCAGAAGGGGTGAGGGGACGTTAGATCCAGACGGGTCCAGTTCGGAATCGAATTCCTCCAGAGTGACCAGCTGGGCAGACCGCCGTCCGCTGCTGTTTGTTCGGGCCTGTGGCGGTGGTTCTCCACCACAGCCTATCGCTGTGCATTCATTACCGAGTCTGTCTCATAGATTAACAAATAGATCGCCGCTTGGCTCATACCGCAACGCCAAGGAGCACAGTGTTGGGCATTAGACCATCGCCTCACTGGGTTGACTGGGAGGGAAAAACATTGATATCATTTGAATCTAAATTTTACGTAGACTGAAAATATACTCGAAATAAAACTATTTACAGGCGGTCTGCCGATTAAATCCATGTCAAGTGGTTATAGTTACGAGCTTCACGGAGAAGTGGGTCCTCTGCCAAAGTTGGGGCTCTTGACCCATGGAACAAGACGTCAGGTCCACGGAGCATCGCCCTTGGCTTGGAGTCCGAGCATGTTCGGCCAGGGTGAAAAGCATTAAGCATGAATCAACACTATGTACCCCGCAATGCTACATAGGGTTGCTTTCAATCGTATATATTGACAAGGAAATTCATGTCCTCAACTTCATTCTATCTTGTACGAAAACCTACTGAAGTAACAGAACACCAGACCATATCGCCATCGGCAACAGCCACAATCACTGACCACCATGCTTGAGAAAATACCGTTAGCCAGCTGGCCAGTCGTGGCAGGCTTGGCTCTCGTCGTTTTCCTCGCGTCTCGTCTCTGGGGCGCAGGCCCCAGTGCACCTGGCCCGTTCCTCGCACGCTTCACCGACTTGTGGCTGGCCTACAGGCAGAGGGTAGGGAAGTTTCAGGTCGAAAATGTCGAGCTTCACAAGAAATATGGTACGCAATGTGTTTTGTTCTCACATTCACGATGCGGTCACTGACATCATAGCCAAACAGGAAAAATCGTCCGCTTGGGTCCGAATTACTACAGCATCGACGACCCCGCCGCTGTGAAGACCATCTACGGCCACGGAACGCAATATCAGAAGTCAGAGTGGTATGAGATCTGGAACGCGCGGCCCGACGTTAACCGTGCAAATCTCTTCGCATTGAGAGACATCAAGCACCACGCCACCACGCGCCGACACTACGCGAATGTGTATGCAATGTCAAGTCTCGTCAGCTATGAGCCATATGTCAACAACTGCATCGATATCTTCACCAACAGACTGCGAATGTGCGGGAAGTCGGGGGAGACGATTGACCTTTCAAAATGGTTCCAGTATTATGCTTTTGATGTCATTGGCGAGATCACGGTGAGTTTCAAAACGTGGAGAGTCTGAGGTCTGGAAGCGGGCCTCAGCTGTGATGGGACCTGACTAGGAGCTGACCTCAACCCCCTCGTAGTACTCAAAACGTTTTGGTTTCTTGGAAAAGGGCATAGACATCTTGGACCTGATCAAGACAATCGGCGGAGTCCTCGACTTCAGCCACGCAGCCGGCTTCTTCCGCCCCCTGATCGCCCTCACGAGGTTCATAGCGGCCCGGAACAACACCGAGGGCATCGGCAAGCTCGCGACATTCGCCATGGACCGCATCGAGCAGTCCAAGAAGGAGAGCATCAACGGCTACGACGACCCGGAGCGCCAGGCCGTCACGCAGCCCGACTTCGCCTCCAAGCTCCTCGCCCAGTCCGAGGCGGCCCAGCGCGGCGAGAAGAGCCTGGAAGGCATCACGCCCATCCAGCTCGTCATGGGCGGGTGCGCAGGGAACGTCTTCGCCGGGAGTGACACCACCTCCATCTCCCTTAACGCAACTTATTATAACATCATCAAGAACCCCAGGGTGCAGGCTAAGCTCCGCGCCGAGCTGGACGAGGCTCACGCCCGCGGCGCCCTGGGCGAACCGCCCAGCTTCGCCGAGACCCAGGCCCTGCCGTACCTGCAGGCCGTCCTGAAGGAGGCGCTCCGGATGCACCCCGCCGTCGGCCTCTGCCTGTGGAGGATCGTTCCCGCCGGCGGCGCGACACTGGCCGGACAGTACTTCCCTGCCGGCACCAACGTCGGGGTCAACTGCTGGGTGGCCCACCGTAACAAGGAGGTCTGGGGCGAGGACGCAGAGGAGTTCCGCCCCGAGAGGTGGCTCGAGTCCCCCGAGGACAAGCTCAAGGCCATGAACGCAATGTACATGCCCTTCGGGCTCGGAAGCAGGACCTGCATCGGCAAGAACATCAGCTTGTTGGAGATCTCAAAGGTGATCCCGCACATGGTGAGGAGGTTTGATGCCACCCTGATCGACCCGCTGAGCAAGCTGGACGAGCTGCCTTCTAATTGTGCTTGGTTTGTGGGCATCAAGGATTTCAGGGTGAACGTAAAGCCTAGGGCTGGGTAGAGGCTTTTCTTTCATCTCAAAGGTGTTGGGTGACTTGGGCCTCGTTCTGGGCTGTGTGTCCTATGAAGTATTTTAAAATTGCCATATTGCAGATGCATAGCATTCCTACTACATGTATACAATCTTTTCTCATTTCACTGATAGTCCAGTATATCATTGATGTCTACGAAACGAACAAAAGCTCTTCATGGAGCTGTGGAGCTATAATGCCCACGTTCTGCTCACGCATGATCTTGCGCCCATTAAAGCTGTGTGCGACATTAACCGCAGTTCTGTCGTAAGCGTGACAAGTTTGGTAAGTCTCAAGACTCATCATTACTACCCGCGTCTTTCTCATATGTGATTCAATTGATGGCTCGAACATCGTCTATGCCCCCAAGACCCTAATGGCAGCATCATAGATATCCGTAGTCGAGCTCGTAAACATGAGCTTCGGCACGGGCCCCTCGGCCTCCGAGACCACAGCGTTCACAATGTCCTCGAAGAGCGCGGTGTACTCAATCGCGCCGCGGAGGCCAAACCCGATAGAGACGCCGTCCCAAGCCGAGCCTCTCAACAGCTCCTTGACTGCCGGCAGCGCCGCGCCGGTGTCCTTGCTGTCGGCGAAGTAGAGCGTGAACTCGAACCCCGCCTCCCGCAGTCTTGCGAGCTCCTTGTCGACTTCCTGATTGACGCGCTCGGGGCTGTAGGACGGGTTTTGCGAGGAGCTTTCCTTGAGGATGCCTATGCCGAGGATCTTCCTCCTGGGTGTGGTGTCCATATTTGTTGCCTGGACGAGAGCTTGGCCGGGGCTTGAGTTCAAGGCGGTGAACTGTGCAATGTACCGTTGTGACTAGTGCGTGGTATCTTGAAGCTGGCTCTTTCGGATTCCGTGATAGCAAATGGCCACAGGCGGACGAGAGTCATTTATTCTAGGTTGGAACAAGTGCTAGAGAGCCCTCCGTAGATGTATAAATGTTGCGTAAGCATAACCATGCTTACAGATCAGCAAATAATACGTGTGCCGTATTCTGCATTCGGCACGCGATGGTGAGGGCGAGCGCGAGGTGCCAAGGCAGTAGGCTGAACCGGCAGCCTACTAGTACTCAGAGATCGTGCGGTTATAAAAGGCACGCATCGAGTCTCCGACAAGCGAGAAAACCACAATCCTTGGAATCTCGCGTCCAAAACGGGCCATCTAGCTACACTGCATGGTGTAGCTAAGCCATCAGTCAGCAGTGAGATATATCATATGGCCTGGCACGTGGTAGGGCTGTATGATTGGGGAAAGCTACTCATCGTGACTTGCATCGAAACACCATTGAATATTACCTTGGCTGCATCGACACTTAGCGGCTGAGCATGATGGGTGACCACATGAGTGTATACCTAGGTACGTATCGCAGAGTAGTTGGTGAGGGGAAAATGATACACAAGTTCACTTGGCTGACTGTCGAATCTAGTACGAGAAGTGCCATAAATCCTATAGTCATCATCGTCTTGGCTTCAGGCTTAGTCTATGTATTTTGGAGCGATGGATCTGTAAGGCGATTTGTTGTTGCGTTGGGGTGGGTCTGCTGTGCCACTCGCCTGCTGCTACGTGAAATATCTAGGCGTATAAGTGATCTCACTAGGATATGCCTCGCCTGCATTTGAAACTACCATACTGAATTGCTGCTCATGGGGGTATTGCTGTGAACTAGTTCCCGCATGCCACCTAGTAGTCCTTGATCTTCAGCACAGCCTTGCCGAAGTTCTTGCCCTCAAGCAAGCCGAGAAATCCTTCGGCGGCGTTGTCGATGCCCTCTGTGACATGCAGCTTGGCCTTGAAGCTGCCATCTGCGATCCACGCCTGCACCTTCTCCTGGTGCTCCTGGGCGTAAGCCGGCCCGAAGCCCGGGTCGCCGACGATGAAACCCTGCATCGTGATCCTCTTCCCAACGACGAGCATCAGGTTCTTGACGCCGTATCGCTCAGAAGCATCCTTCACGTTATATTGGGAGATCTTCACACCACCCCGTTAGCATACTGTCTCAATTCGATGGTGTTATGAAGGGGCGTAAATGAGGCAACGCTTACCATTCCGCATGCGACGATTCTGCCGTTTGTGTTCATGGCTTCCAGAGCCCCGTCCAAGACCTCACCGCCAACATTCTCGTAATAAATGTCGATGCCGTTCGGCGCCAACCTCTTCAGCGCATCCGAAGTTGACTCCTTCTTGTAGTTCGTGGCGGCGTCGAAACCAAGCTCCTTGGTGATGTAGCCCAGCTTCTCATCCGAGCCCACGCTGCCAATGACAGTGAGACCCTCGTGCTTGGCGAGCTGGCCGACGACCTGGCCGACGGCGCCAGCAGCGCTGCTAATGAAGATGGTCTCGCCCTTCTTGGGCTGGCCGATCTTGTACAGAGAAGAATAGGCCGTGAGGCCGGGCATGCCCAGCTGGCCGACGAAGAGCGCGAGGTCGAGGTTGTGGGGGTTGTGGATCTTGGACACGCGCTTGCTGGCGATGACCTCCTTGGAGGCGTAGGCGTACTCGGCGATGTCGACAAAGGCCGAGACCAGGTCGCCCTCCTTGAAGTCCGGGCTGTCGGACTTGAGGACCTTGGCGACGCAGGTGCTGGTCACGGGCCCGTCCAGCTCGAGAGCCGCCGAGTACGACTTGATGCTTGCGTCCCGCATGCGGCCCCGCATGTAGGGGTCGAAGCTGGTGACGAAGTTCTGGAGGACCAGGCCGCCTTGGGGGACGGCGTCCAAGTCAATGGGCCTATCCTCTGTGGCAAGATCCTGCCCGGGCACGGGGAAGCCCTTGGGGATCTTCTTGAAGACGAAGGTCTTGTTGGGAGTAGGCATGCTTGCGGTTCTGGGAAGTGAGGCTTTGGCTGAAGATGAGTAGTCTCGGGACAAAATTCCTAGGTGTTCCCCTGTTATGATTTGAGAGATCGAATGTGAAAATAGGCTATCTTCTAGAAGCGCGCAAGGTTTGTCCACCGAAGCTGTTTTCTGAAGTTTGGGTCGCCGAGTCTGGGGCGCCTGATGCTGTTATATCGTGTTCACAGTGACGTTCTGATGAATAATCCAGCTCGATTGATAATACAACTCGACCTTGTCCCCACAGCAGCCACGACCCGAAGAAGGTTCCCACTGGGTATAATGCCGTGCAACCTCAGAGCTAGGCGCTATGCCAAGGTGGTCTATCCGCAGTGGAAAGCTGTGCCGAGGCACAAGGACTGGTGACCAGGGAGCTTTAGTCATCGCCAGTCTCGCCGATCGCCGACGAGCCTCGGCGAGTGGGGCTGTTTAGGTGGGATCGCATCGCAAAATGCTATTGAGAAACGATCAGAATTAGAATGCAGGCTTTGAAAAGAAAAAGGAGTGTTAGACCATATTGCTAGGTAGACCTCTTTCGCCACCTTTGTACTGACATGTCGAGTTGTTGGGTTCGATTCAAGGCAGTTTCATATCCCTCGCTTACTGACGGTGCCGCCATCACCCCAACGTTGAGAAGCAGCTGACCAGATGGCGACATACCTCCCGAGCCAGCAATGCTGACACCACGACCAGATGGCATTGGCGCGAGAGATTTTGCTCGAGTTATGGCCAGAGAGTTTTCTTTCAGTCTTGCAAAGAATCAATGTTGAACGACCCACCGTGTAGGGCTAATCGGCATACGATGCAGAACAGGGCGGTCCCATCTGCCTGCATATGGTGTAGGTAGGTAGCTTCTATGCTCGGGGCACGATGGATCGATCCCTCATGCCTTCGACTTTGAGGCCTATTATATGACAGAAGGCACCACTCAATCTGCACATGTGGCGTAATCAGGTTGGGCAATATTGCAACCTATGCGTTGTCGGGATGAACGTGCATTATCTTGCCCTGGAACAAGATAGACTTGAATTCTTCTGGCAGCCGTCGGCCGCCGCTCATCTGGGCGACGTGTGATCCAGCCACGGAGACCTCGCCTGGTCCCAAGAGCAGACAGGCTGCATTCTTGCATACCCCAAGTGCTAACTCCAAATCATTTGGAAGGGCCCGAGGTAAGGCTGGAACTATTCCAAGGACACTTCGAGGCCGTCTTCTGAACATCCATCCAGCTGACGTGTGTCTTGTGGCCATCCCGGACGCCACGTGCATGCATCTAGGCAGTCCGCGGGGGCTACGTCAAGCCAACGGAGACAAGATCGTCGACAAGACTCTTGAGTCCACGGTGGGTGCTGTCTTAAAAAGAGAATCCATGGCAATATCTCTCAAGATGCACACCAGGGAATCAGTTGGACAGATTCCCTTCCAAAATTTCCCTCCAAGCTCAAGAGCAAGGACGGCACAACAGATGGTGCAAGCGGGACGCCGGCCGGGGGAGCTGTGGTTACACTAGGGACAAGATTAGTGGCCGCCGGCCGGCCGGGCCGCCAGAGCTCAAGGCGGGCCCAGGTCATCATGCAGCTAATTCGGCGTCTTGGTCTGCCCGGTCCGCCGGGTGTCACAAGGACCTGGCCGTGCTGGGCAAGAATTAAACACCTCACCGCAACAAACCTCATCCACATCACGATCCACACGTATCCAAGTATCGTATGCTCTCGTTAGTGAGGCAGCTCTTCACCAGAGCTGACACATCCGGCCGTTCAAGATGGCTTCGGACGCGACCAAGACGCTATCGAGCGTCATCGGGTGGACCTACATGCTGTGCTGGACGGCCTCCTTCTACCCCCAGTTCCTTCTCAACATCCGCCGCCGCACCACGGTCGGGTTCTCCATCGACTTCGCCCTTCTCAACATCCTGGGCATGACCTCCTACGCCATCCACAACCTTGCGCTGTTCTTGTCTCCCGTCGTGAGGGCACAGTACGCGCACCGTTACCCCCGCAATCCCACTCCGACGGTGCAGCCCAACGACATCGCCTACGCCGTCCACGGCGCCGTCATCACGGTCCTTATCTACTCTCAGTTCTACCCGAGGCTGTGGCGCTTCGCTCCGATCAAGGATCTGAGGTGCAGCGGGTGGACTCTGGGGTTTTTCTGGGGCTGCATCGCTCTTGTCCTGCTCGGCGCCTTCGTCGTCGGCCTGCAGCCGACGTCATTCCGGTGGGAGTGGCTAGACGTGGTGAGTGAGCTGATGATGCCGGCCTGGCCTGGCCTGGCCTGGGCTCATACCTACGCACATGTCACCTTCTTACTCTTACTCTCACAGATCTACCTCATGGGCAATGTCAAGGCCTTCCTCACCGTGGTCAAATACGCGCCGCAGATATGGCTCAACATCCGGCGCAAGTCGACCCGGGGGCTCAGCATCTCCCAGTTCTCGCTGGACCTCGCGGGGGCCTTCCTGTCGCTCGTCCAGCTGTTCATAGACGCGGCCCAGGGTGGTGACTTGTCCGCGGTGCTGGCGAACCCTGCCAAGTTTGCGCTGGGCAACGTCACCGTCTTCTTCGACCTGGTCGCCTTCTTCCAGCACTATTACCTCTACCGTGGCGCCGTGGATGATGCGCTGCCTGCTGACAAAGTAGATGCCGAGACGGACCCGCTCTTGCCTAGCCATTCCCGTAGGACCACGCCTCAGACATCATGAGCCGTTGTGCCGCCCTCGGCATTCACAAAGACAGAGAAACAAAACAGCTGCATATTTCGACATGCAGATTCGCTCGGACTACGGATCAAGCATAACGTCGTTTCAAGATCCCGAGACTCGTGGTCGCATCCAAAGGAAACGGCTCCGTGCAGGGATACAGAGACAGTCCTCGGTCGACTTTTGCAGGTTTCGGTCGTGGCACGGGGAACCAGTGAGGTGCAGATGTCTGAGAGCTACGGCCTGGATGCCATCAGCCTGGAAGAGCTCATTGGAGCGCCGCTTCAAGGTGCACATTATTATGCAATGCGCTTCCCTGTGTGACGGCGTTGTTCAGCGCAAAAGTATACGTCACTGCGTCATTGTTCAATGCTCGCCGGTCATTGAACCGAAAGGAGACGGCTGGGTCTTTATGCAGCACAGGAGCTGCTGTCATTGTGTCCCGGTCTTAGAATCGAGAACACCAAATCAGTCGGACCACGGCTATTGCTTTGCACAATCCTTCAGCCGGATCTGCGCGCTTTCAACCCTGCACAGCAGCTTGGAGCACAAGTGTCTCTACCGGTGTCGAGCCCGAAAGCATGAGCAGAACGAACAGCCGCCGAACTTGCCGCCATGGCGTTTCACGTAAACTTTGAGGTCGTAGGTTCCCGGTCCCGTAACCCCTTCCCTGCATTGGTTCAAGTCAAACAGAGCCCGCCAACACAATCGGCTTTGAAACAAGGTAACACGCACATAAATTACCTAAATCACAGTCGGAACGAAGCCCGTCCCTCACAGGAAATCGAACGTAAGAACTCATTCTTGATGTTCCTGATGTTTATCCTTAGCTATAAACTTTCCACGGACTCCTCAGCCCTCCGGAATTCCCAAAACAGACAGCGCAGGATTGTATATAAGCGCATGAAAACAGTTTCAGCATAGTCGACTTCAAACGATCACCATGCAGGCTGAGATGACCTACCATGTCTTCTCTCGAAGTGTGGAAACCAAAGCTTTGCGTCCCCAGCCCGTCACTTTTAGCGACCTGCGCTTGGACACATCTGGTGTTTAGAAAGGGCCGTCACCTCGGTGGACAGGAACACACCAAGACAGCTCGCCTTCCGGGGAGTACACGATGGTATCACTATAATGACGGTCAGATAGCTGGGGCAGATCAGCTGCGTCCTCAATAAATCGGACCCGGAGAAGCCCGGCCGGCACACTGCCGTTCCGCCAGCTGGGGATGGCACGCTGGTTCTCAAGGTAGTCCCACATCAGTTGCAGCGACGCCTCGATAACACCGTCCCACTCACGAGGACCTTCGCCTGGGAGGTAGCCCACGCCGTGGACCACCTCCGACACGAAGCGCAGGCCAACGTCGATATACTCTTCAGCAGCCTCGCTGGTGCACTCGAAACAATCTTCGGGGAAGCGGTGTCCAAACCCTGGCTGCAGCTCTGGCATTGTGAGCGGCACCAAGGAGGCGTCCTCGCTGGTAGCTATTGGCAGGCGCTGTGGGGGGATGGTGTGCAGGCAGCCAAAAAGCAATTTCGCCCTACATATTGGACAGCTCTTGTGACCTGGAAGCAGCTCGTCTTGAGCAGCGATGTGCCCATTTATGCAGTCTCCGCAAATAATATGCGAACACGGGAGAACCATACCCACCTTTTGGGAGCCGTCAGCAAGTTTCCAAGGACAGGGTTCTAGGATGGGGACACCGCGGATTGCGATGGGGTACATGCAGACCGGGCAACAGCACATAGGCTGCGGGCGTCCAGCTGGGTTTTCCAGGTAGCTTTTCACTGTTGTCCACAGGTTAGTGTCCTCTTCTTGGGCACTGCACCGGCTCTTCTTGACAGGCCTGTCCGCGTTCAGCCCGCTGATTTCGGAATGCTTTCGCTTCCGAGACTCGACAGGCCGGGACGGTGTTGCTCGCGGGGAGGACATTTTTCGAAAGTTATAGGAGACTATGCCTGATAGTCCCGTCTGATCCAAAAGAAAGTAAGAGAAGGAGGAGTGAGATTCCCGACCTCACCAAGTTGCCGAGTGGTGAGTTGATTCCACGTTTATGACCTTCCAGTCAGGCTGTCTGCCACTTAAAGAGGCGTTTACAGGCTGCTGGCACCAATTCCTCCTTTCTAGCATCGGCACGGGACACGGGACAAGAGGACGGCTCGTTCAGCAATGCATGCTTTGCTCAGGCAGAATCCAGGACTATCATCGCACCATGTATCTATTGTCCAAAAGGACGGGTCGAGCACAATGCCACATGTGCCCGCACACCTTGGTTGAGAATGGCATTGTGGCTGTTCGATTGCCGTCTTCATACAATCTCAAGTACCTTTGTAGACCCAAGTTTGGCACACCTTTTGTGTGATCCCAAGATGAAAGAGAAAATCCGCAGGACTCATTGTTGAGTACGTTACGCTATATGGAAATGGACCGAGCATACACTCTTGGCTAGGATCGTAGCATCTCTGTCAAGGGCGCGGAGGTTCGAAGCCTTCAGCCCGACCTGTCGGGAGGATTTGGGGGTAAATCGGGTGGGAGAAATCAGATCTTGGTAGCCGGAGTCTGGATCGGGTCTGTACAAAATACATGTGCTTAATTTCAGCGCTGTTCATCCTATGACCGCCCCTTCGCTACTGATATCGAGTGACGTTGGCCATGGTCACGGGGAGAGGATCTTGGCGACAGTGTAGGGACGTGACGAACTGCTGGGGGCAGCCCTGGTTCGCCCGACAGCTGAGATTAGTCGCGGTGGAACACTGCCTGTCTCGTGCCGCTGCCGTCTTGGCGTGATAAACGACCTCTACGACCTGTCGTTTTGGGACTGGCCCGCCATTGATAGATCGCAACGTGCCCTCCAGGGTGCGATATGATTAGGCCAAATGCCCCGGAGAACGCGCATTCAGCAGCTTGGCGGCCTTCTCCGCCAGCTGCCCCTTGCATCTTCCCCCTGTGCGGCTCAGCTGGGATCTGCTCGACGACGACTACAAATGCTACTCTTTCCCGTCACGGGCAGTGATCGATCAAGATGGATCTGTGTCCATCGGCCGTCCAGCCCCCTCCCGCCGAGCAACCATGAAGAGCCTTCTCTGCAGCGTCGCCAGCGCCTTGCTCACTCGCTCTGCGGCTGCACTGACCATCTCGCAGATCAATGGCAACAAGTTCGTGTCGCCATACAACGGCCAGAGCTTGACCAACATCAGCGGGTTGATCACTGCCAAGGGTCCCACGGGCATCTTTGTTCGATCCACGGCTCCAGACAATGACACGGCCACGTCGGACTCGGCCTTCATTTACAGCAGCAGCGTCGGCGGCTCACTCAGCGTCGGGGACATCATCACTTTCGACGCCAAAGTGACCGAGTACAGGTCCAGTGGCTCTACGTACCTCTACCTGACCGAGCTCACTTCACCAACAAATGTCGTTGTCGTCTCCAGCAACAACACGGTCACTCCTCTGGTCATTGGCGAGAATACACCCAACCCACCGACGGAGCAATTTTCCAGCCTCGACGGTGGCCATGTCTATGCCATACCCAACGCTGTTGCAAACATCTCGTCGGTAAACCCCGTGCTGGATCCGGCGAACTATGGCCTCGACTTTTGGGAGAGTCTCAGTGCTGAGCTCGTGACCATCAAGAACGTGACGGTAATCTCGCGTCCAAACTCGTACGGCGAGACATGGGTGACTGGTGGATGGCCGGCGACTGGCCGCAGCGCGCGAGGAAGCCTGACCATGACGGCCCTGGACTCAAACCCAGAGGTGATCAAGATCGACGACCCTCTCGACGGCACACCCAACCCGACCGCGCCCAAGATCGGAGACAAGGCGACCGACATCACAGGCGTTGTCTACCAGCAATTCGGTTTCTACTATCTCATGCCCCTCACGGCGTTCGAGCTCACCACCCTTGCCGAGGGAACAGCACCACCGACGACCCTGGAGAGCACGCGGTCCTGCGAGGGGATCACCGTCGGGGACTACAATGTGGAGAACCTTGCCCCGACCTCCGCCAACATCGACAAGAGGGCGGACCACATCGTCAACTACCTCGGCGCGCCGGACCTGGTCTTCATCCAGGAGATCCAGGACGGCAGCGGGCCAACCAATGACGGCGTGGTCGACGCCAACGCCACCCTCACAGCCCTCACGGATGCAATCGCGGCCGTCGGCAACGTAACCTATTCCTTTGTCGAGATCGCGCCCGTGGATGGGCAGGACGGTGGCCAGCCTGGCGGGAACATCCGCGTCGCGTACCTGTACCGTCCTGAGGTGGTTAGTCTGTACAAGCCCAGCCCGGGCGACAGTACGACGGCCACCGAGGTCGTGTCTGGAGACTCGGGCCCAGAACTGACGCTTAACCCCGGTCGGATCGACCCATCCAACCCGTGCTGGGATGCCAGCCGCAAGCCACTGGTAGCCGCCTGGCTCGCGGAAGGCGCGACGAAACCGTTCTTTACGGTCAACGTGCACTGGAGCTCCAAGGGCGGCAGCTCAAGCCTGCAGGGCGACTTGCGGCCGCCTGTCAACGGTGTCGTTAGCAACAGACTGGTCCAAGCGAACGTCACAGGCGTAAGCACTCATCCCCTTCCCTCCTCATAGCCTTGACGCAGGAAAGCTAACAGAAGACAGCAATTCATCGCCGAAATCCTCGCCATTGACCCCTCCGCTGCAGTCATAGCCGCGGGCGACTTCAACGAGTTCGCCTTTGTGGAGCCGCTCACGGCCTTTGCGGAGATCTCTGGCCTGACCGAGCTGGATGACGTTGTCGGCACCCCTGTTGAGGAGCGGTACACGTACACTTTCGACATGAACACCCAGGCCCTGGATCATATGTACGTCAGTCCGGGGCTCGAGGAGGGTGCTGGGTACGAGCACATCCATGTCAACACGTGGGCGACTGAGGACGATGTTGTTTCGGATCATGACCCGAGCGTTGCGCTCTTTGGTGTGTGCGGTTCTTGACGAGAAGTGATTGGGGTGTAATGAGCTTCCAGATATTAAAATGAAACTGCTGCTGGGAGACCTGGAGTCTTTCGACGTGCATGCTTCGACATATCCACAGCCCTTGAATAAACCATTGTCGGTCATGTCCACAAGATGTGTCCACAGTATCATAATCGACGTGGTAGCTGCCTCTGGGGTTTTGATAGAGTCAAGTGTACGGCTGGGAGGGTTTGTCAGACAGACACTACGAAGTGTTTGTAAAGTAAACAGACGGACAGCACGCGACCTATACTATGTTCAATGTGTGTCCCCATTCGTGTGATCCCATGTGGCCCAAAACCTCGTCTTGGGTCCAGGGGAGGGGATGGCAGCGCAAGTGAGCAAGACACCCGGCCGCAGAGGGGCCAACCGACCACTCTATCATCTCGTTGGTGACGCCGACGATGCCACGGGTCACGCACCGGCCCGGAAGCGTTTCCGAAAGATCGTCACTTCCCCCGCTGGTGGCAGCGCTGAATTTGCCGCTCTATCTCGGAAGAAGGCGAGGCAGTGAGGAGCCCCGAGGCGCGATATTCATGAGTGTGATCATGTACCATAACTCCGTTGTCCCATGTATGAAGGACCTGAAAATCACCGGATTTTCTATTCCCTGCCTCGGGTCTCTACCACCCAGGCGCGCGTTCTTGGCCAAGGAATTATCCCCGACAGGCCTGCAGCTCCTGTGATCCAGCTGCCATGCCGGGTAGTATCCCGGGCCCATCGGGCGTGCCGGGCTCTGTCGAAACATTCACACTTGGTTGCACCCTTCCGGGAGGGCAGCCCGTTCTTTTGTTCTGTGCATCAACGCCTTCAACAGAATCTCAGCAGCCAGAAGCAATGCCGACAATAGAAGCACGAAATCTGGCATCCTGGAATTCTGTGAAGCACAACCTCCCAGGGAATCGGGACTTGGCAGGCTGACCCTCTGTCTCTGCGAGGGCATCCGCGGGCCGACCGGGGCTACGAACAACCAATCGATTTATCGGGAAACATTCTGGCGAGACAGAGGCGGCAACGAGTTACGAGGAGGCCATGGCCGAGGCAGTATATGACGCATTTGCTCAAAAGTAGACTCTGGTTGTGACATGTCATCACGAGACTCAAGAGACTGTTGGCGAGGCAGAAAGGCAGCGGGGTCTTTGTCCCGACAAGGCCGATAGGTGACTCCAGGCACTCGAGAAGTTGGTTGACCTGAAGGTAGGGAGTAGCTCGAAGGTGGTCGTGCAAAAGCTGATGAAGAGCAGTTGGCGGCGGAGGCGGATCTCGAGAAGGGACGAGCAGCAACGCCAGGCTCATGCCCGCGCGGACACGGACTTCCGGGCGGCAGGTGGTTTATTTCAGGGACCAATACTCAAGTCAGGTGGTTGGAACAACTCCAGCACCGCTTAACTGTGCTCAAAATTTAGTTCATCGAGTTTGACTGGTAATTGAGAGGGCGTCAGGCTCTTCACATCGCGGCAGAGGGCAGCCATGTAACCATCCAGAGACAATGACCACTCAGGTCTTGATGTTTGCGTAGCGAGAGCCTTGATCAATGAAGGCCGACGTGTAGAGTTTCTGATTGCACTCCCAAAGCCAGAGAGTGTGGGCAGCTCGTGTGTCTTCGAATTGCCGCTTATCCCATGCGATTAGCCCACGAGATACGCCCCGACTGCTAGACGAAGCGAGCCCATTGCGCCATGAAGTACTTAATCAGCGAGCTTGGGTTGCTTTTTCTGGCGCCGTCAGCTGCAGGTACTGTCATTGACGTGCTGGATTAGGATGAATAAATAACTACCTAGGTACCTAGATACCTGCGCCTCAGCAGTTCCCAAGTCCCCTCTCCCCACCTCTGGTCAGACTTCGACCTGTCCTGCAACTTTTCAACAAACACTCCACCACCAGCAACAGCGACCACGGCATTGCTGATTTGTGCGTATGGCGACACTCATTGCATTTTCTCGTTGTCACTGGCTGACTTATTTCCATCAGAAAACTTTCGAAGTGTCATCAGGGAGCAGCATACCAATTGGGGCGCGGCTCGAGGAGTTCAGGCGTCAGAGAGAGGAAAGACATCGAAGAGCGTACGATCTCACAGACTTATCTGAGGATTGTTTTATATTCGGCTATGAAGATGTGGCCAACCGTCTGGCGCGAGCAGCGGATGGCGGATACTGGGATGATGACAACGTCAATCCTGATAGTGAAGATGCTGGCGCCTCTGCGCGCCCGCGCCCTGGGTCACTTCTCGAGTCGGAGGAACGTTTTCGTGCCGTCTTTTCACAACTGGCCGAATAATTTCGCGGTCGAGACGAGAATTATCTTGCCAACAGGTGTGCGCGACACGCAGGGAGGCCAGGCCTGATAAGGGAATACTCTCCCCCAACTGATGGGGCGGACATCAGCGATTCACCTCGCAGCGAGGAAGGGAATGAAGGACTCGTGCCCAGCGAGGACGAGGACAAGGACAAGGACGACATCTTCCAGAGCGAGAGCGAAGACAAAGGGAAGCTCGCGCCCAGTGAGGACAGAGAAGGACAGGAGCAGGAAGAGACCTCAGTGGTTTGGCAGCCGCTCTCTCTCCCAGGCCCTCGTCACCAGTGGCCAGCCGATGGGTTCGCCGATGACGACCCCGCCGCGGTCTACGTGGCTGAGATCTTTTTTTGGTACATGTGCCACTGCGTGAACGAGCTTGCTCCCGAGGAGATTACGGTCTTCCGGACCCCTGATTCTGAGGACACTGATTTTCGTCCTTTCCAGCAGGTGCTAAAATGCGGCGATGATTTTGCTGGGACCAATTTTCATTTTCAAAACCCAGACCGGCCAAAAGGACGTATGATGGGGAAAGTGGACTTCTCCAAGTTCGGCCTCCATATCGTCATCCAGGCCCTACGGGCCGCAGTCAGCGGCTATGAAGATACGGTGTCAATCCCGAGCCGTTGCCAAACTCGTGACCGCCTCAATGCGTCGAATGGGGTGGTCGATTTCGAGCGACATCGTGAGGATCGGCAGACATGCTATGTTTTTGTGGAGCCTTACACGCTCGAGGGGATCAGGTCGGCTATGTCAGCCCTGAAGGCGGCGGCTCGCTATTCCTCATCTGGCCGTGTCCTATTTTACGCCCATCCAATGACCCTTGCCGAGCGCAAAGGGAGATTCGGCGCACTTCTTGATGTCCATCCAATTATCGATTGGGAATGCTGAACTATGCGCCATTCCCAGACGACATGTATTGGGGGGGGGGGGGGTCGAGTTTGGGGCGTCGTTGGCTCTATGCTGTGCATGGGCGTGACTGTCATTCGCCCCGGAGGAGGAGCCACACGACTTTGTGTGTATGAGCAGCAGACGAGAAGGGATTAAAACACATGGAGGGCTGGACTTGGCCGTGAGATCCCGATAGGGCGGCCCAACTCAGGCGTTCCTCTAGGATCGCGCCGGGCGGGAGATTACAATTGGTGTTGCCAGCGCTTCAGGCCACCTATGCGTGGAGAGGGCTGGACCCAGTTCGTATGACTTGGGCCTCGGGGTGAAAGCCGGGCTGGCCAGCATTGCCCATGGGATCGCCAGAACGGATGGGAACGGGACGGTGGGCATGGCCAAGCTCACCTGGAGACGACAACACGAAGGGCGGGGCGGGGACAGGCAGGGGCGAATACAGAATGGGCGGGACAAGTGGCTCGACAACTCTTACCCAGGTGGTCAAGAATACGGGCGTCGAGGGAGACTGAGTGGGCTTGGCGCTGAGCTGCGTTGAGCCTTCCCTTGCGCCCTTTCAGTTCAATCTGGGCTTCGACGGGCAGGCGTGCCTCCATCGTCAGCCCTGGCCAGGCCGCAAGACACACACCAGGGACTCGAAACAAAAAGAAGAGCGGCAGTGCCGGTGGCGTCCTCAGGTTGGTACTTCCCTTTGCTGTTGGCTGCACTGCTTGTACTGACAGTCTCCTTTCACAGCCGCACCCCTTCTGCGGAGATTTTGAGAGCTACAAATCCCGTACCACCTTTTCGTCGCCGACTGGGAAATTCAACATTGTCTGTCTCGTGGCCCACTGTATCTTGCGATTTTAGTTCCGTACTTCGCCACCCAGGACGGGATACTCGACAGCCAGAGGGTAACATGGGCTGGTGCCAGAGTTTGACCTACATGGTGACATCAGCAACAGTCGGGGGACGGTGACGGCGAGAGGCTCTTCTTGGCACCTGGTGGGTGTGGGAACAAGAGACTGTCTCGCCACCCCCAAATGCCCCAGCGCGCGATACGGTGCCGACAAAACGAGTACCCAGGGCTGGCTGCAACGTCCAGGTGTCGCTCGGGGGCAAGGCCACCGGACCTCTACTCAAATTCTTCAATGGAACGCTCCCAGCGTCCACTCACGAGGTCAGCAAGTGCAAAATTCATGGAAATGTGCGTCTTTGGTGCTGGCAGCAGTCATCTAACGCCTTGCGTTCGCAGCGTGGCCGCTGTTGGTGTGAGGTCTCTCCAAGGGTCGGACTGACTGCGACGGAGCCTTGCGCTACCGAGGATGGGTAGGGCAGCACACGCGAGCGTTGCTGCACTCAGTTGATCTCGACGACATCTCGGTCAAGGATTTCGGTCACTTCGAACGGAGAAATTTCTTTCCCAAGGCCTCCTTCATCCGGAAGCTCCCATTTAGCATCTTTGCTGAACTTGCCGAAGTCGACATGCGTCCCTCGCTCTTTGACAGTCTGGAAACTGATCTCCCTCAGCGATCTGACGGGCTGCTGAGCCACGTGGGTAGACCGGCACCCATGGAATATAAAGCGGAGCAGCATCATCGATACTACATTGTCGGTCGCACGGTATGCACGCCCAGAGATAACCATCGGAAAGCCCCGGAAGTTGCAAAAAGAAAGAGGAAGGGAGGCGGCGAGGAGCGAGTCGATCACGCGGGTACATACAGTCGCTTTGGAGGTATCTCTTGTCCATGCCCGAGCCAACTGAGCACAACCCCACGGAAGGAAATCATCTGGCGCAGGAAAAGCGCCGGGGTCGAGGGCCGTATCGCACCTCTACAATGCCCAGGTACCTCGCCTCCAGCTGCTAAACAGCAGTCTCTGCCTGGTCGTACCAGCTTCCGAATTGCCAGACAATGCTCCCACGGCGCACATCATCAGCTCCGGCTGGGGGGCCTTGAAAGGTCACCTCCTCGGCGGCTTCGTCCATCGACTCGAGCTCGCCAAAATGAATCTGAGCCCGCTAAACTTACCAGGGCTACGCACACCAGTCATGGGCTTCTTCACGGCCGGTCAGGGCTGTACTGCTGGTCAATTACTCCTCCTGGAAACTCCGCCCCGCCTGTACTGCACCAGACGTTATACTTGGACAGTTTTGACCAACCTGCATCACAACAGCGCCTGCAGTCAGTTCACAGATTCATAACCGGAGACGCCACGCACGGAATCAGGCATGGTGTCGAAATTAGGACGGTTCTAGAGCAACCGACAATGACAGAGTGGTCTTATGAAGTTCACAGGTTCTCTCACAACTGTTTTCTACTAATCATGAACCATGATCGATCTGCCACGCTGTAAATCTCACCAGTCAGCGAGATTTGACACTGGTGCCGTTCCTTTCCACCAAATGCTGTCGCAGTCGTGATCACTCTCAGGGAACGCGGTGCTGTCCCCAAAGGGTCATCCAGCAAGTCCACATATCAACCGGCATCAAGCAGGAGAGTGTTGCGTTTCGAGTGCCCTTGTAGTATCTAGTTGAGCTGGCGTCGCTCAGCCCACGCGGGTCTTTGTCTCAAACAGCTGCTTGGCCAAGGTAGAGTTGGACACTTCCACGGAGGAGTGATTGGAGTCGGTAACTGGGATCCTGTTTGTCAAAACCTCCAGTGAATGGGGAGGTGTTAGAGCGGGCTAGCATCAGGGTACCTGGGCCTTTTTAAGGGATCCCTTCGGCGCAGCCTTTCCTTCTTTCTACCTACATCGCGACAACACTGACCTCTCGCAACCCAGCGGTCAGCTGGGGTAACCAACATAGTCAAAGCAAAGGAAGCAATACATCACGGCAACGAAATCATTATGGCCAGATCTGTAAGTTGCCCCGCAGCGCCACATCCTCGCATAACATGCAACTGACTTCTGTTGGGCAAAGGAGGCGCCAGCGCAAGATGAGGGTGGCGCGCAAGACACGATGCCCCCCCCCCTCTCTCTCCAGAAATGTCTTACATCAGGGCCGCGGAGATGGAGAAGCACATGTTTGACCTCGAAGCTAAAGCCGAGGTCTGGGACGATGTGGCTGAAGTGCACCTCAAAGAGCTCCGACAGGTGCAGAGCAACGCCCTTTCCGTGGCCAGGGCCAGAGTCCAGCGGGCTGATGAGGCGATGAAGCAGGCCGACATGGCGCAAAGGCGGGCCGCGGAGGGTTACCACCAGGCAAAGATGGACTTTCATGGGTCTCACACCGAATTGCTTGCAATAGACTCTATTTACACGGAGGCGATCTCCGTGGTGGCAAGCAAGAAACGCAAGGGGCGCTCGGAGGCAGACGAAAACATTCAGACGGCACGATCGTCGTTCGACGAGGCATGCCAACAGGTGATGGATCACGACGCCTTTTCACTGGAGAGGGCGCCTAGGAGCTTTGCCCACACGTCGCCCGGGCTCCGATATCGACATCGATAGCATCTGGTCTTGCACGAAGCTTGGGGCATCAGCGGCCTTGTAGTTTAAGCCACGATCGCAAGCAGTCCTAATTTGAGCCTACATTTCGTCACCATCGCCCTGCTCTGGTCCACCCTCAACACCCCAGGCATTACCACCAAAACCCTCGGAGCTCGTGGGACCATAGCCAACGCAGGTGGCAGGAGGACTCAAGGCCCAGGAAGTACTACATATTCAATGGCACAGACATGAATAATTTTTCCGTCGTACAGCTGTAACGTGACCGTAGATGCTGGTATACAGCTTCACTGGCTGATGAAGGTTTGGATACCCGGCTCAGAACACCCGAGACGATGCCGACAGAGAAGCCCTGAGCCCAAACCCGCCCGCCTCCGACATGGTCCCAGGTAACTCCTCCTGCAGTTTCTCGTTGGGTGATGGCATCCGAGAGGCGCTCCGGGGTGATCAGATCGAGGTCGCCCGTCTTCTCCCCGCCATTGCCGACTTCAGCGTCGACAGCAGCGGTGGACGAAGTCCAATGCCGACTGCTCTTTCCAAGCGTGGCCCTGGCTTCGACCCGAGCGAGCTGGCACCGGCCGCCAAGAGATGCGTGCCTGGAAACGGACCAAAGGCCGTTGTCGGTTCGCGCACTCGTCAGCGTGCCCCGATCGCAGAGCCGGACACCATCCACATCGATGACGATGACCAGAGCCGCCACTCCGGACAAGACACGGACTCTTCCGATGGCTCAGAGAGGGAGGATGCCGTGTACGGGGCACTGGGTCCAACCTTTGAGCAGGCCAATGTTTTGATTGAGCAGGCCATTGAGAGAATGGAAGCGCTGTCTGACAGCACGAAATTAGTGCTTGACAAGCTGAACTCCGTTGTTGAGAGGACTGGCTCGACTGAGAAGTGGCTGCGCATGCTTGAAAAGTGGGAAGTCATGGCCGAGAAGTTGGACGCTCTGCCTGAGAAGGAGGGTCCGCTGAGAGCGGCTCGATGTACGTCTGAATAGATTGGTCATTACTGTCGATGCCCTTGAAACAAAGCTGACCTCTTGCGGGTTCACAGCTGGGCCAGCCTCCACTGCCGAAGGTGCTCGTGCCGAGCCCACCGACCACTAGGTTTTGCGCAAGATCGCCGCATGTCCAGGGCAGACAGGCCGATCACCAGGCTATCTCTAGAGGGGTCACCCAAAGAGGGGGGATGGGGAAGGACTGTGGAGGAACGGAGAAGCGCTTAATATCAATGGCCGCAAGTCCGGGGCAATGTCTATGTTGACATGACCCTCGGCAGCAACTCAAAGGACACATGTGAACCGCCTTTTGATGAACTCTGAGAAGGATAACGACGCAACTGGATTATATTGTGGGATCTCTGGGGTCCTGTGGCCTTTGTTCCAGTACACTCTCGAGATTATAAAGGGGCATACGGCGTTGTCGTGGAGGTGACACATCTGTGTCAAGCCCATTTACAGTCCTCAATATGAATAGCTCCAGACCAAATTCTCGCCTCCTTCCGGGCGGTATCTGAATTCATGGTGTCCATTTGTACTTGTGGCATCATGAGATTCACAACTTCGCAGTTTATCCTTAGGGTGTTCAAGGGAGATTATCCCAGGGGAGATTTACCATAAGGAAAATAGAAGGAAAGGAGATCGAATTCCTTAGGCCCATTCCTAATCACTATTGGGGTACCAAGGTACCTCCCAAGGTAAGCACTGTGCGCCCTGGAGTTTCCCGTTCTAAATCGAAACTCATCCACTTCCAGCCCGAAGTGCTGCGAAGTCAGTACCGTCCACCTTCGATCCACCTTCCCTCCACAACCGCCTCCTGCATCTTATCGTCACCACCTAGCCACTCGTGATGTCTCAATCAGACGATTCAGAGTCGCAGCCGGATGCTGATGGCGATGCGCCATCATCGAAGAAGCTCAAATCTGAGAATGCCCACAAATTCATGGTCAGTGATCTGAGGTAGGTCTTTCCCTCCGCCTTGAGCTTCACCCTCCAGGTTCGAGGTTTCTAACATCGATCGCAGTCTCCTTGAGACTGCAGACTTCAGCGACGTGATATTGCGCTGCGGCAACAAGGCATGGAACGTTCACAAGAGCATCGTCTGCAAGAGATGCGTCTGGTTTGAGAAAGCCCTTACTGGTAGCTTCGAGGTGAGAGCTGATGGCATCGTGCAAGGCTTTTTTCCCCTTCTCAATCTCGCTGACTGTTTTCCCACACACAGGAAGCCGAGACCAAAAAGATCACGCTCACCGACATCGCGCCAGAGCTTGTCGAAGTTGTTGTCCGCTACCTCTACTCAGGTGGTACGTACTGCACCTCCTTCTCTTCTTCCAGACGGCGCTTACTAATTTGCGGTATAGCCATCGACAACGCCGCCGTCCAAAAGTGCGAGGGCGATTCCATCGTCAGCAAGTACGTCAGCCTCTGGTCCGTCGCCGACTTCTTCCTCCTAGAGCCACTCCAGAAGGACGTCATTTCCGCCATTGAAGGTCATTTCGAGGTCAACATGAAGCTCATGTGTGACGCGAAATGGTACATTGGTGGCGATGAGGGCAAAGCCATTGTTCAAGAGTTCTTCAGTGGTGCGGCCGCTACGTACCGTCACTTTCCACACGCCAAGCCCTGTCGAGAAGTCCTCATAGACTACGCGCATGCCATAAGGCTGAACCTGTACCGTTCGGATGACTTCGTCCAAAGAATCGACGAATTTCCCGAGCTTGCCTCCGACCTGTTCCTGGTTGCAGTCAAGGGGCGCGAGAGCAGGTGGGCTGGCAGCTGCAAGGCGGATTACCGCAATTATTGGGCGCATTACAAGTGCATGGGCTGCAAATGCGTTGCCAAAGAGACGGCCAGCTGGCATGTGGATCCACAGACGACAGGCAAGAACATCAGGATCATGGAGGTCTCGTGGAAGTGCGAGACGTGCGTGGGAAAGTCAGGCTATCCATGGGAGGGTCGTCGTGACGCACAGCCTGAGAAGTAGGCGGATGGCTTGGGTGAAAAGGCAAGAGCAGTGGGCGTTTCAAGCTGCTTGTGAATGCCAACACTTGAAAGGGTATTGCGTTCTTGGGACATTGCGTTGCTTTCACTATCACGGCAGTTCGTAATTTGGAAAACGCTGCTAGGATGGTGGGGGAAAACGGCTTGCACTCTTCTAGAAGACAGAATCGATCCTAGAAAAATGCTCATGACCGTTCACCATGCATGTGAGGTAGCGGATGACAACCACCACGCGCGTGGGTTTCATTGGTGGTGTGTGGTCAAATAAGGGACACGCTGACTAACTTCTGCGCCCGTCTCGCCTTTCCATCTTGAGAATCAGCAGCTAATCCTTCTCGGCTCGCCTTTCCCTACTGAGAGAGCGGCGGCTGAGGTCATCTCTAAAACTCACGACGTACCTACATGCAGCTAGCTTTGGGCCTTGCAGATCTGGGAACCTGCGCGCGGTTGATTGCAAAGCATTGTGGTGGAAATACACTCTCTAATACCATTTGTAAGGAGAAGATGGCCTCAAGGCAGGTCATCACCATGTGCGCGACGAATATAAGATGGGAGGAAGCCTTGGCTCATCCAGAGAAATCGGTCTAGAGGCAAGATCGACCAGCTCTTGAGTGATAAGAAATTTATTCGAACTTTCCCAGATCAGAAACATCAAACGAACCTCAAAAATGTCTGTCGCAGCAAAAAATGTGGCCCTCGTCATCACCTCGACCCGCGGAGTTCGCGTAGGACCCAGCGTCGCGTCTCTTGTCTCGACAGTACTCCAGCCATCGGCAAAGGCGGCAAACATCAACCTCAAGACCGTCGACCTCAAGTCCTTCAACCTCCCCATTTACAGCGAGTGGATGCCTCCGAAGATGGTCAGCCCCGGGGGCCCACAGTTCGAGCAGGAGACCTCCAAGGCCTGGGCCGACGAGATGTCCTCCCACGACGGCTACATCTTCATCCTGAACGAGTACAACTACAGCATGTCAGGCGCCGCCAAGAACGCCATCGACTACCTTATGAACGGCTTCACTGGCAAGCCTGTCGCGATCATTAGCTACGGCATTCAGGGCGGGAACCTGGCCAACGACCACGCTCAGGGTGTCCTGTCCAAGATGGGCCTGACGGTGATCGAGCCGCGGCCGACGCTTGGCTTCTTCGGGGGCCGGGGCCCGGAGGGGATCCTCGCCGTCACGGAGGGCAAGCTCGGGGATGAGACGCGGAAGGACTGGAGCGAGGGCCACCGGGCCGAGATCCTGGAGGCGTTCGAGAAGCTGGGCGAGCAGCTGCGTGTGCCTCACCCGGAGGGGGAGCAGCTCCCTCCCAACTAGCACGAGTGATGGTGTTCGATAGGGTTCTTTTACAGTCTGAAGAGCATTTACACATTTCATTTGTTATCATAGCATGAGATCTAAGGGCAATAGAGGATCTAATACAGTTTAACTATCAACCAGTTCTATCTTTTCCTTTTTTTTTAACTCTCCAACTCCCGGGCAGAAACGTACATAGACATGCTCTCAGTCCTGCATTTATAAAAAGATCCAATGATGGTTAAATGTCATCATGAAGAATGCAGTCTCATGTAAACGCACATCCAGCCCAAGACTCCACGCTGATACATCCCAGCGCTGACTGACTTGGATACCGGTGTGCACTGCTTTTTGAAGTAACTATTGCAAAGTCTTCCCATCCCAGAAAACACTACATCATTCCCACAGTGGGAGGACTGGTGGTTTATCTTTGGACATCGCAACGAATAACAATTTGTAAGCTACTTCTCCGACCAATGGATGTCTCGGGGCCGCGCGACGACCGTTTCAGACCGGCGCATGTCTCAGGGCCGCGCGACGACGCCATGAACAACGACAACGGCGTCGTAGACGAAAACGCCCTAGACAGCGACCCCGACGGCATGCCGACACAGCGGACCATCCCCACCTCCCGCTGCGCAAGGATAATGACACAATCGATGTACGAAATAAGCCGGTGCGTCATAGCGCGGAGGTGCAGGGCGCGCAAATCTTCATCATGGCGCTGCGACGATTCCCTGCTGTCCACACGCAGGTAGGCCGCCTCACGATCAAGCACGGATTCTGCGACCAGGTGCCGGGCGTAATGCAAGAACATGGCGCGGTGCTCGCCGGCCAGTTCCGGCTGGAGCCGCGCCCACTCTTTGATGTTTGCGGCTGGGTCGGGGATCCACGGTTCGTCGACACAAGGCCCTTGGTGTCCATAATGGCGGGCTATCCTGCGCATGTGCGCCTGGATGACCTTCACACAGATCTCTGGTGCCTCGTCGTTGATGCGTTCGATAGTCGCAAGTGTGCTCTCCTGTTCCAGGCTCAAGGTCATCTCGGACCAGCACTGGAGCAGGAAGGCGTCGAAATAGAGGGGGTCGGGGTGGTCTTTGAGGTGCTTGTCGACCCTGCTTCTGAAGCGGTGCAGAACTGTGCCCCTGGCCTCGTAGTAACGGTGGATAAAGCGCGATAGCCACGTCACTTGGGACTTCCAAGGACCGCATCGCCACGGCCCGCATAGGGATACCCTGAAGAGGAAGGACCTGTCGGCGGGGCTTTGGCTCGAGAGGAGCCGATGTAAATCGTCCAACACTTGCTTCGCTGCCGAAAACCACCAGTCCATGTCTCGGCTGTACCAGTAGTGGGTATTAGGGTTGGGCGACTCGAATAGCCTGGTATTGACTGTGAGGCGCAGACAAAGTTGCTGGCGCTGGGACAGTTGCAGTGGTGCTATAGGTGAGCCGCCGCTATATATCAAGTCGTGTGTGGGATTTTGGCGCTCATGGTTGGCGGAAGCGGATCCCGGAGGAACAAAAAGAAACTCAGGTTCTTGGTACATTATGGTTGATGATTGAAGAACAAACCGAGTGTGCCTTTATCCAGGATAATGGTGTCAGGTGGTTGATATTGGATATAGCAATGTCGATTCAAGATCAAGATCTTTCCTAGAAGTTTGGTCAGGTAGAGTCGCTGGAATTGAAAAGGAAATTGAAACTGCCATGCACCGTTTTATAGGTTTAACGTGATGCCAAAAAGCCCAATTCTTCTGAGATTGGGGGGTTTGGCGGTGGTGTTTTCTAATTACTGTCAATTTGTCCACGCTACTCACCGACGGCGTGCGTGCGAGGTTACGCCAACCAGGTCCTCGCGAAGCCTTGAGGAGCAAGGTAATTCATGTAGGTTCGCAAGCCAGAGGGAGAAATGACAAAGAAAGGCAATTTCCTGTTGCGATTCCAGCAGACGGACAGCACTGGCTGAAGCTGAACTTTGTTGGTGGCCGGATGCACGCCGTCTTGGTCAAATGCCTCCCATCTCGTCCAAGGGATGGAAAGTCGGAGAGCAGTAAAGAGGGCACCACCAGAGACCGAGAGAGGAAGAAAGACAGCCTGGACATAGAGTATCGTGTGAAGAACTCGGAATTGTAGACTGCCGCGCTGTATCGAATGCCGATGCCCCACGAGATGCGTATCCAACCAAACGCCCGGCCAGGGAGCGCAACGCGCACCACCCTCTTATTTGAATTCAACCAGGAACCGCCGCCAAACACCTTGCTGACGCTCGCAACCACCCATCCTCAGAATAACCTCCGGCGCCTAGCCGCGCCCGCCGTTGTAGTCTGCGCCGCCGGACCTCCGCAGCTCCTTGACGATGTCGGCGAAGACGAGGTCGCGCTTGTCGTCGGCGTTGAATTCCTTGCTGTAGTGGTGCAGGACCTTCTTGACCTCCTGGACCTCGGACAGCATCTTGAAGCGCTTGGCCGAGTGGACGTTGGGCCCGTTCCATATTATCAGGGCAAACTTGACGCGCGTGCTCTCCGAGTCGTTGGCGTACTCGACGCGGGCGTAGGCGTACTGGATCTGGTCGTCGGCCAGCTTGTCGACCATCGCCTCGAAGGACTCGCTGCTCGACTCCTGCAGGCCCATCTGCTTGCTGGTCGTGCCCGACGAGATGAGCAGCCACTTGGTCTCGTCCTTGTCGCTGCGGACGGCCTCGTAGGCGGCGAGGAGCTCGGGGGAGTTGATGCCGGACATTGTGTGGGGGCGGGGGCTCGACGCGGACGTGGGCTTGTGGATTTATACAGGATATTGTTTGATGGATAGACTTCCTCTAGGGATACCGTAGGTTCGAGGAGATGGTCGAGACGGCTGGCACCAACCTGTCGAAGTCGCAGCAGTAGGAACTGGCTTGCCGTCGCAGACGTGTCTCGATCGCTTCCACCCGAACCCTGCATTGTCTGTTCGCGACCCGCAGTCGCAAGGGCCTCCCTGCGGTGACCCCGAGTTCAGGGGCTGCCGGGCTTAGTCATCTGTTCCGATCTCCATTCTGGATCGGCACGACCCTTGATGTGCATGTGCATGATGCGCATTCTGAGAGGCTCAGCTTTCTTGAGCTTGCGTCGCGCCGAACCTTGACAGCCGAGATCTCACAATTTCCCGCGTGCTGCCCGCCTCGAGCCCTTTAGAAACGACAGCAGCTACAGTACCGCGCGTCGAAGTCGTCAATGTTGCTGCGTCAATCTTTGCGCTCCCTGCGTTCCGCCCCGCGCACGACATTCCTGAACAAGCGCCTGTTCGCGGCCATGTCGCAACCTGGTAGCCCAGCCGCGAGCTCCGAGGCTGGCGGCCCCGTCGAGCAGACGATCCGAGCGAAGGTACGCACGCCATCTCGCCAACCCAAATCGGAGGACTACAGCTGACGCTACTTTCTGCTGCAGCTCGTCGAAAAGTTTGGTAACAACCTCAAAATATACAATGACTCCCACCTCCACAAGCACCACAAAGCGATGGCCGGCAGCACATCTGCCGAGACACACTTCCGTCTGGTCATCGTCTCCAGCGAGTTCGAGGGCAGCAGACAGATCCAGCGACACCGTATGGTGAACCAGCTGCTGAAGGAGGAGCTCGCACGAGAAGGCGGCATACATGCACTGCAGGTCAAAGCCCTGACGCCAGAGGAAGAGGAGAAGAAGTCGGCGCAGGAGTAGGGTCAAGTCAACATAGATATGAGGCTCTGAGACCATTGATCCGAAGCGACGACAAGACGCACACGAAGAATGACTAATACCCACGGGCTGTCCAGGCTTTCTTACGAGAACGCTTCACGTAGAGCTCATAGGAGGACCGCTAGATGCCGACCTGCGACGGCGCTGGAGAAAGCACGTTCATTCCATAATCGGGGCAATCCATCAGCCATTTTGCCTTCTTCAAGTGCCGTTGCTACACACAGAGTCACTACCTCCATGGTGTACCCACGGAGCAGTCTCCCTCGTCTTCCTATGACCATTTGGCTCTCGATCCACGATCCCTTGTCGCTGAGCGGTTCGCAGACCATATGACTCGGGGAATACAGCGGCTTGTGGACAGAGTTCTTGTGTGTGCGTGCAAGCAAACACGTGCGACCACAACCAGCGAACCTGGGATCATCTGCAGCCAACCGTGGATGCTACGATGGATGCTTGTTGAGAAGTCCGTCCAGGAGTGGGGCACGTGTGCCCGGATGCCTCTTGGGACGCCCAACTTGCTGATCCCACCGTCCACTCCGTTTCTCCAGTCTTCCGCCCTCAGAGTCTTGACGATCAAGAATTCAACAAGCTGTTGAAGCACCTTTCTTCTATTCAACCTCATTCTTCGACGGTTTGCAATCATGAGCGATCCATTTTCCATCGTAGCATCAGCGGCAGGGCTGGTCGGGTTCGGCTTAAAGACCTGTACTGCAGTGACGGATTACCTAGATGCCATCAAGAGCAGAAGCCAGGAAATCGAACGTGCCAAACATGAAGTGCAAACAGTACATCACTTACTGACGACGACAAAGAATTCAACGGTCAAGATCTCTTCCTGCCACGAGTCGTCGAAATCGGCGGTGAGGGCCTGCTTGACAACTTGCAACAAGGAGATCGCAGCTCTAGAGGCCCTCATTCCCGAGCTGCAGGGCTCTACGGCTGTGGGCCAAGACAGTAACATCTGGCACAACATAAGAGATCAGGGAAAGAAGCTCACGTATCCATTCCGCCGTTCGAAGCTTGACAGGCTGCAGGCTCAGCTGGCCAAGGTTACGCGGACACTCCAGGTGGCCTTGCAAGTGGCGGGAATGTAAGTCACTTGATGTGTATGCGCAAACTCGTTCCACGTGTTGACCCGGACGCAGAGATGTCGTCGTCGGCATCGAAAACACCGTCATGGCCATGCACACCTCGACCTTGCCCAGTATTCAGCAACAGCTTGATAGTTTCCGAGCGCAACTGACAGTTGATCCTGCACAATTTACGGGGCAGATACTCGAGAGCAACCGACTCACTCGCGAAGTGCTATCTCTTGTGAAGAGTCTTTCCTGCGAAAATAACAAGAATTCTGAACTGGTGGCCGAAATTCTTGCTCTTCATCACCAACCAAAAGTTAGGGTGGTACAGGGTTGCGAGGATAACTCTTGCGCGGGTCAACACTTTGTAATCGCTCTTGCCCAAACGATAGTCTCCATACGATATAATCTAACAAGCCGTCTAGCTCAGTCATCAACAGGCCGTCGGTCGTCTCATAGCGAAGCCATCCCAGCTGAAGGAGCTGTGCCAAATTGCCGACGACCAACTATCCGATCCCGCACCGAACGACGTAGTTCGTCCAAGCAATGCTCTCTTCACGAACGAGCCTGGTGATCGAGACGCGATCAGACCTCTTCGTTCAAGTTGTTTTTGCCGGCAACGCCGGTTCACCCGACAGAAAATAGCTGCAATGGCGTCTTGGGTCTTTTCTAGCGAAACTTCAAAGGTCCAACGTCACATGCCGGACTGTCCCTTCCGGAACTGTGTCATTGGCACCAAGCAAACGCGCTGGGAGGTACGGTTCGCTGGCCTGAGAGGGCTCATCAGCTGTGCTGTCGGTCTGTCCTTCTCAGCCAGCTTCGGCGCTGGTGGCTTCAGCCTCAGTCCGAACTTGACCTATTACCCTTCTGTCAACAGCTCAACAACACCTGTATTTCGGATAATGGACTTGCTGTATTGGTTTCTTGTCCTCCTCCCTTGCCCCCCACAGATGCAAGTCTCTTGTCCCGACCAGACAGAACTGGATGGATGGGCGCAGGCTTTTCTCGACTTCATTGATCTCTGCATAGACAACATCATGCTTCTATACGAGAAAGAGAAAGCCGCACCGCGAGCTATTGACGAGTATGGCCGCTCGGTTTTACATCATTTGTCGCGAAGTCAGGTACGTTACTTCCGAGGAAATGAACGAGTTGGGAGGCTAGCCTCTGGTTTGAATAATCTAATTTGAGCAGAAAATTTTTAGATATGGCCAAGTTCCATTCGTGTGGTTTAGGTCGCTGCAACAATATGTGGATAATCGCTTTCTCTACCTTGCGGATGGCCTAATTCGTTGTGGAGTTCCATCCATGACGCAAGATATCTATGGCGTGTGAGTCTCTGCTGGACCGATTTGCACTTGCCCATGCATTCGCCATGACCTAATGAGAATATTTATCATCAGGACACCAGCCTGGGATCTTTGCATCGTAAGCTTTCAGACACAAGGGCTGTGGGCAGATCGTGCTTATCATGTTGAACCCAATGGTCCAGCAACTATAGATCTCATTTGCTCTCGGGAGCCATACGCACCTATTCTGGCCCAATCATCTTTGGTGGGAGGCAATTCCTTTCTTGGGAACGATGTGGAGCCTATGTCTCTATTACCTCTGCTTCGCTATTCTCAAGCAGCGGCTGAAGGTATGTGACCCATGGCAACATTGGCCGTGCATCCTCCGCTAATGGCAACATCCACTTGAAGCCTGCGAATGCGGCCCATTGGGTTTGGCTGCTCTTGCAGGGAACGAAAAGGAGATTGCGAGACTGCTTGCCAGCCATCCATCCACACTTCAGGAGCGGAACTTGTTCGGACAGACTCCTCTTCATCTTGCAATTGGGCAACCGACCTGCATGAGACTTTTGCTACAGGGTCCCCGCTCAGCCTTGCTTGATCAGCCCGATTTCAGCGGTTACACGCCCCTGGAGTATGCTGTGTTGAGTTGTAGTGAGCCTTGCGAAGGATCCGTGATTGTAATGCTCGAATCCGACTGCAGGGTGCCAAATCAGTTTTCACGCAACTTTTCAAAGTTGTGCCGAGCCTGTACAGGTGAGCTCTTGAAGCATATTCAAGATCGAAGGGAAAGGTTGAAAAGATTCGCTGTGGAAAGGCTACCAGGCGCCGAGGCATCTGCCCTGGGACTTCACCAGAAAGCTGTTCTCGACTCCAAGGTGAGCCTCGTCACCCAGGCCTTGGAGAAACGAGGCTTCGAGATACCATCGCCTTTACGCCTCGACGTCTGTCTTATAAACAGGGTTGGTCGGCTCGATACGCTCAACAAGGAATTCGATCTATACCAGCCTGTATCTATGTTTCATCAGAACCCCCTCAACACGCCCTTTGGCGCCAACTTTGAAACTCTTTTCCAGCTTGGGTTTCGTGATTTTGAGGAGCCTGCCTCCCCTGAACTCTCACCTCTGCTTTCTTGGCTCATATGCCCTGTCTATGTGCTCCGCTTTGAGGCGGAAATTTGGGAAGTCAACCGCATCAACGCTTGCATTTGGCTGATCGACCACGGGGCCAACTTGTGGGGTCCAATTTCCGAAGATATCCCTGCGACGACCGCTCATTATCTTTACGCTTCCCTGAATCTTTTGGAAGACAGGATTCTGATGACAGAAGCCGCAAGATTCAAGGCTCAGATCTTGACGAGGACTTTGTCGACTCAGGATGTCCGCGACAGCTGCCACTGCAGATGCTCTCCCGGCGGGTGCTCCCCATTCGTATGGTTTATCAGGAGCCATATCGACCAAGACCTCTCTCATCTTGGTCCTATCGATCATGGGAAAAATACCATTGACCAATTCCCGCTATTCTTATGGAGGTGGAAGCCCGTTGTCAGAGTGGAGCAACTCCGATCGGCAATCCGCTACCTGGCCTTCGAAATTTTGGGAATTCGACACACATGCTCTCATAAGTATACCCGAGTAGACAAGCCGTCCGCGGATGAGATCGAAGAGCTCATGAGCGAAGATGCCTCGTTGCTGGAGCTTCTAGAAGAGTTGGTAGAGGAATTTGATTCGGCACTCCAATCCTTCATCACGGAAGAGGATCCTCTTGGGCTGCCTTTTTGGCAGACTCACTGGTCAGCACGCATGACGGAAGTGTTTGGAAAACTCAATGACTACAGAATGGACCAGAGTGAGCTGCTCTCGGCTCAACGACTCGGTGTGATGTGGCATGATTTAGTTGGCAGTCCAGAAAAGCATCAGATACAGCAGGACGGGAGTATTTCTCAGAGCGGGACAGGCTCGGGCGTTCAGATTGACGATGTTTCGTATCGTGAATCGGACTGGAGTGTTGATGTTGACGACGAGAGAATGTGGCGCACATTGGAGTCATTGGAAGACTGGAGATCCAGATTAGACCTGATCATGTCCAGAGCCATTCCCGGTTGGCGGTGAGTCTTTGCGACTAGAAATGTTTTTGAGATGCTCTGTGGCAGGAAAGACTAGGTCTGGCAAATATGCGATTGTTTGTATTCGAAGTGGGCATATGCCAGGTTCTGAGTGCAGAAGGGGCAGAGGGCACCATTTTTATAGACGTACGGAACCCCCTATTCTCTAAGAATGCAAAAATGCTAGGAGGGTGCAGAGTAGAGAGCTTATAAGAATTCTTACATATTCACGTGACCCCCCCCCCCATTCACTGCCATATGCCCAGACTCCTACTAGATTTCCAATTCATCGAACACACATCTGTCGTACTTGACGTGCCACTATACTGTCTTGGAGCAAGTCATAAGAAAACGAGTCTTCTCGTGTTTTTTTCCCCTGAGATTTGGCCAAGATACAGCTGGTACTTTGGGTTTGAAGCTCCTATTGAAGGCATCTCGACCCGAAGACTCATTGGCGTAGTTCCGCAACATGTGATCGGTCGATTCAGCCAGTCTGGCCTCTTTGCAAAGCATTCAATGCCAGGGGAAAGCCAAAATCTCCCATCTCATACGTGCGGGCCTTTCATACGCCATACCTACCCACTCCTTGCCAACCAGTTGTGGCTCGCAGGGCTGCAGCTCAAAAAGAAATACGCACAGGACTTGGTGCACCACGTTGAAGAATCGATGACGTGTTAAATCATCTGTGATCGGGAGTAACTGACACAGGCTGCCTTGAATTCATCCGCGATTCGACTGTACTAATCCCGCGTGAAACAGATTCTCCTTATGGTCTAACTTCTTGAAGTGAAGAGCCCAATTGCTTGGTCACCTGGCCGCCTCGAGGCGAACGGTGAAGTGCCTGTGAGCATGCTGCTTTTGACTCAGCTCGCTCTAGCAACCACAATGCACTGCAAGGATCGAGATCCGTCTCACATTTTCCACACGGGCCTTGATTTGTTAATGCCCAATGTTGACATTTGGCGGTATGCATTTTGGCCAGTGAATTTTGGGCCTCGGTGCCCCCGACTCGGATCGGGGAGAAAAGTCCTGGGGCACCCCAGGTGTTTGGCCGCCACGAGTCTATACCAATCAGCAACAACCTTGGAGCAGGGCCGGTTCCTGTCGGAACCGAGGCCGGGTCACAGGGGACGGCCGGTGAGGCGGCCGCCAAGAGCCTGACACGTAGCCGGGCAAGTGAGGCTGCATAACCCGCTACCGGGGATTTTCGAGCTAAGCAACCAAAAACCTTTGCATTGACACCCGTAGTGCCCTTGGCTCAGGAATCCCATGTGCGGCGGGATGCGTTTTAGGGGGGGGGGGCTGGAACCGAGTCCAGCTGCCCGCGAGAGTCAAGGCATTGAAGTGTTGAATAATTGTGATGCCCGTACGCGATCTGGGGCTGCAGTATCCACGCGCGCGATGACGGTAGCAAAGCAGCATGAAAGTTAATTTCTTGTACAGGTTTGTATGAACCTTGTTCTAGAAGCGTCGCATTCTTATAATATCATCCCCCAGCAGAAACACGACATCTTCAGGTCTTCCAGTTATTTGATCGTGCTGTGCATTGCTTCCCATAAGCCTCTTCGCGTTTACCACTTGCACTCGGCTCTGAGACGCAGGCGAAGCGCCAGGCGTTTGCATATTTGTTATCCTTCGGCTGCAGAAACGCTCACGCCACGAAACTTCGCCTGTTCACAGCACGCAAGTGAACCAACAAACAAGATGGTTTTTACGGCTCCCATCTTCTGGCATGCGGGCCAACATGTGCCGCCTCACCAGCTTCCCGATGCGCGCTCAGACGCAAAGGGGCGCACCCTGCTCCGTCGCATGCGCGGCGGATACGCCGCCATGAGCGAAGAGACCATGCCGGACCTAGGTTCTGATCGCCAGTCCGAAAGGACACAGACACCTGAAACGGCCCGCCGAGAACCCATTTGAGAGCCCGCAATACACCGACGACCCGCCAGAGTATGATCTCGAAACCCTCGGGCAAGACCTCCCTCCTGCGCTGCCCGGGTACACTCCACTGCCTGACAGTCCGCCGCGGCCCATCGGGAAGGAGGATCCGGAGCCAAGACAGCGGAGGCGGTACCTCTACGTGCTGAAGAGGAGGATCTCGTCGACCAAGCAGAAGTTCAACAAGAGCAGCGCCAAGAGCATCGATAAGGAATCGGTCAGCTCTGCCGAGTCGGAGCGAGGAGTGGTGTTGTACCAGCAAGACAACCAGTGGGTTAATTTTGAGGAGGCTGATGCAAGCACCCCGGAGGTGAGGCCGAAGACTCTGAAAGGGTGGGCGCGGAAGATCTGGAGAGCTATGAAGGAGTTCTCCAAGGAACACCCGGCACTGTTCATTCTTGCGATCTTCGCTATTGTTATTGTGGCAATGTGTCTGTTGATCTAAGTTAGTCCTGGCTCGGGAGTCCTTGAATTACTGGAGTATCGAGAAGGCAACGCATAGGCTCTTTGGAGCTTGGGAGACAATGGTGCAGTTTGATGATTTACGATATCCAGGATGTAACTACGTCTAGTTAACGATTAATGGGATCATGGGCGTCTACAGGTCGCGATTGGATTTACCTGCCTGTCTCGCTCAAACAGTCTAGATTTAGCTGGCTTGCAATCTACTTTGCCAAACTTCAGCGCGCTACATGCTGCACCATGGTTCGCTTATTCCCAGATCGGCAAACGTTCACCTTGAATCACATGCTCCAAAAGATTTGGAGATCAATTGACGCGCTTCAGGCGAGTCTGACCCGGCGACGTGCCTGCGAACACCTTGACGTCTGCACTGTTTGCCGAGCCCATATACAAGAATCCACGAGCCAGTAGTCACAACAACTCAAGAAATTCATGAAGATTGGGTCGGGACGGAACCGCGGAAAACGAACGGAAGACCACTAACTAAACTTGGCACGTGGTCACTGTCACATGAATCTGTTTGCTATGACGAAACACAAAAGTTGTTCCAGGATTTTGAATTGCCAAATTCTCCGATCGGTGCGCTACCGCCGATGGTGAACCTCTGGGGTGGTTCTATCCAGGTTCTGATGGGCGGCGCCACTCCGCTCGTGGTCCCAGAACTCTGGGTGTGCCAGGAACCTCATGCCACAGGCTACATGGGTACCGTTGCCTTGTACGCGTTCAACCGCGTCAACGCTCATGTGAAGATAAATCTCTGCAAACGGAGCTCATTTTGATCACAGGGTTCTTGGTGGGGACCTGATGAAGCTTGATGATTATTCAGTCTACATTGAGCCATTGGCATGAGATGGAGACAGAGAGTCCGGTCGCAGATCACTGATACAAACAATTGCAGACTTTGGTTATTGTGATAGTACTCTCAGACGGGCAAATAAGTCCAGTCTGAACAGGGTGTTAGTTAGGCTTGCCAGCCTATGAGATAATCAGCCATGTTGATCAGGGTTGTTAGCACTGCAAAGATACTTGATCCATCTAAAGGCCCAGCTACACCCTGAGAATCCTGAGGTTTCAATTTAAGGATGTTTTACGACAGATAGTGAATACCCAACTTTGGGACTCGCGATCTAGCTTTGGGAATGCCTGGTGGAGACGGTCTCAACCGCCTAGGTATCCTCACACTGCTTCTTGACGAGACTTTGAGAGCGATATGATTTGATGGTGGCACAGATAATGAAGCTGGTCTAATACACAATCTAGAAAAATTCCCAGGTTTGCATCGAGCCAAGGTTCCTATTATCTCGGGCGTGGGTGCGCGCGTACAGCATAACGTCCCCGGCCCAGATTCCAACATACCCCTAATCCCAACTGCCCCACACCTGCATACATTTATAAATGCATTTATACCCACCTTATATAAACTCTTTATTTTTTTTAATTATTAATTTTCTTTAAATAATATTTTCTTTATTATAAAATAATATTTTAAAGATAATATTATTAATACTTTTAATATTATAAGTAATAAAATATTAATTTAATAAATCTTTAAAATATAATATATTTTTTACATTATATTATATAATTACCTTAATATTATTTAAAGCTATTACATTATTATTATTTTTTTAAAATTCTTTTTTAATTATTAAAAAATTTAATTAACTTTATTTATAATTAATTAAAATAACTTAAGGTTAATATTAATATAATTTAAAATAAAAACTTTAAAAGCTTATATAATTTTTTTAAATAAAAATAATATTTATTTTAAAAAAACTTAATTAAAGGTTTTTTTTATTTTATTTATTAAAATTAAAATAATTAATATATAAAAGTTATTTATTTTTAATTAATTGTAAAAAAATATTAAGTTTTAATTTAACTTTTTTTATTTATTAATTATTAAGCTTATTTAATTAATTTATTATTAAAATGTTAATAAAAAAAGGTTAATAAAAAGTTATTTAAAAATACTTTTATTTTTAATTATATAAATAAAAGCTTTTTAATATAAAAAAACTTTAATTTAAAAGCATAAACTTATGATGGGCTTAGGCTATTGCCCAAGCTGTAATGCATGCCCATGCCAAGCCTATACTGCACTCAACCCTCTTATATAATAAGGCATATACTTAAAAGATAAATTCAAAGTTAAACCCTTTTAAGGCTTAACTTATTTCTTAAATATTATAATTTATAACTCCTTTTAAATACCTTTTAATAAACGCTTAAGGCCAACCCATAATATTAAATTGCAATCTTTAAACTATATTAAGAAGAATATTTATATTATAAAAATAAACAACCTTATACCCAAAATATTAACCTTTTTATAAAATGCATAGCTAGGGATTTCTTAACCTATTTTAATATTAAGCCATAAAAACGCTTAAAAAGCACCTTAGCCCCCTTAGCTATTTATAATAATATTTATTAACGCTAATAATAATACTATTATATTTCTCCTTATAACAATGCTTTATTAACTTATAAAGCTTAAAATGCATATAAATCCTCCTAACCTACCCTTAATTTAATACAAGCCGCTCTTAATTAAGCCCTTATTTAATAATATTTAAAATAGCTTTTTAGCTTAAAAAATAATAATATAATATAAGCTATAAATTAATATAAACTTTATTAAAAATCCTTAAAAGTATTAAATCTTTTTATAAAGTTAGTTATTTATTAAAATATAATTATATATTACGGCATTTTATAAATAAGGCAAGCCTTAAAATAGCTTTAATATAAATAAACTCTTTAAATACTTAAAACGCTATTATAAAAATTTATATTAATAAGTAGCTACTTTAGCTAAGCTTAAGATATTTTAAATATAAGATTATAATGGCTTTGCTTAATTTTATATTTAATTTAAATAATTAATAATATAAGTTAAAAACCTTAAGTAATTAAGTAAAATAAAGCTAAATTACTTTTATAATTAGCTTTTTTTATAGCTTTATAATAAGGTTATTAAGGTATTAATCTTATATATAAATTATAATAAGGCAGTAAATATATATTATTAAATTGCTTATAAGCTAAAAGTATAAAACTTTAAGCATTAATAATATATAAGCTTATCTTTATGCCTTTTAAAGCTTTTAGCTTAAGGGTAATAAGCAATAAATTAAGATATAATAATAATGAATATAGTTATAATAGGTATAATAAAGGGTTAGGGCGTTAAAAATAAGGGGCTATAAAGGTAATAAAATGCCTTTTCTTTTTAGTTAATTAGCAGCTAAGTTAAGGCGCTTTAGGTTTTTAAATTTAAAAAAAAGGCTTGGCAAGGGTATAAGATATGCTTATATTATGGTTAATAAGGGTACTTTATAGTAAATTATAAACTTCTTTTTATAACTATGCTAACTTAAGTTTAGGTTATAAAGCTAATTATATTTTATAAAGAGGATTTTATTAGCTTTAAGGGAAAAAATTAGCTTTTAAGTAAAGTTTTACTTAAAAGTATAGGCCTTTTTTATAGGCTTAATTTATATAAAAATAATATTAATAAGTATAAAATAAATTAAATAAGCTTTTTTTCTTAGTTTTTATTATTATAAATTATAAATATATTATTATTATTTAAATAAATAATAAATATAATTATTATATTATTATAAGTAAATAATAAGTATAAAAAGTAAAATTAAAGCTAATAATTTTATTTACTTTAAAAAACTTAAGGATAGTTATTAGCTTATTATAAAGCTAATATATTATATATATAATATAGCTTTTTTTAAATATTAATGCATAGCAAGCCTTTATTTTAATTTATATAATTTTAAATATAGCTTATCCCTTTTTACTAAGCCTATTTTAATTATATTATTATAATATTTTATTAAACTTAGCTTATAGCTATATAATAATTAATGCGGCTTAAGGGATAATTATAAAGAAGAAGAGCTAATAAGATATAAGTAATTTAGCTTAGTTAATCTTTAAGGTGGTTATAAAGGTATAAATAAATTGCTTATCTTATAATAAAATAATAAATATTACCTTAATAAAAATAAGCTTAAGTAAAGTTATATAAATTCTTTAAATTATAGCTTTTTAAAAAAAAAAAATAATAATGTAAAGCAATGTAAAGTTAAGCCTTTATTAAAAAAGGTATAAAACTTTATTAACTTCTTTAATAAAGATTAAGCTTTTACCCTTTTATTACATTAAAATTAATTTAATTATTATATTTATTTATTATTAATAAAGAATAAGTTTGCATTAATATTATTATAAGGCTTATTATATAATATACCTTAGAATTAATTACTTAAGCTATGAAAATAAATTATAAAACTTTATAATAAAGGCTAAGTAAAAGCTAGCTTCTTGCTTATAATAGCCTTAGTTTTCTTAATACATAAGGTAAATAAAGGGTAGCGATTTTATATAAATTATTATACTCTTAATAAAATAACTTAATAAGATTATTACTTCCTTTTCCTTATTAAGGAAATATTATACTTTCTCTTTAATACTTAATAGTTTATAAAGTTAAATATTTATATAGCTTTTTATTAAATATAAATAATAAAGGGGTAAGAGCATTTAATAATATTTTAAACCTAATTTAAGTTATTTAAATAGCTAGTTTACCCCTTTAATTTATTTAATATATTCATTATATTTTAACAATATATTAACTTAATCTTAATTAATATTTTAAAAAACTATATAATAATATACTTAAATAATATATTAATATTCTTCTTAAGCTTAAGAAAAAATTATATAAAAAAGATATGAAAAGTTTTATATTGCTTATAAAATGCTAAATTAAATTTAAATTAAAATAAGTATAAATTTATAATAAAGAAAGTAAAGTATTTAAGCTTTATTGCTATAATTAAAGTAAGTATTTAAATAAATTTAAAAAAGATTAAGGCAATTTAAAAATAAAAGGCACTATAAATAGTTTATAGTATTTAAAGCTTTATAAAGTTTGCAAGCTTTTATTATAAC